TTAGGTCAACTCCTGTTCATAATATACATTCTTCTTGAGTCGTATATACCATGTTGTATATTCCATTCTTTCCAAAACCATCAGCTTCACCATCTCCATCAACAACCTGCCTTTTCAAGCCCACATCAGCAATTTTACCCAGTCTGCCCAGTTCATCCCTTCGACTGCCACCCTGGTCCTTCATGGCCTTCTACAGAACACTTTCCACAGCTTGTACAAATATATGAAACCTGAGTTATCACCAAAGCCCCTACAATTGATCACATCACTCCGGACCTCCAACAACTACATCGGCTCCAACACATACACTATAAAATTCCCAGTCCTCTATGACCAGGCTCCCCCTAATCTCTCTGACATCCTCCATGTTCCTGTTCCCGTCCTTCACCTCACTCCTCATCCGCCCTGGAGCTCCCCGTCTGCTCACATGGGCGACAGAATTTTCATCATGTAAGCCCCAAAACTCTGGAACTCTCCCCCCTGTCCTCAGACAAATCACCTCTCTTGACTCTCTTCAAGTCTTGCCTCAAAACCCATCTTTGTAGAATGGCTTTATTTGTTTAATTTAGTATTATCGTTTGTATTTTTATTTTTGTTAAGTGAACTTGGCCGTTTAGAATGAATAAAATGCATTATTACAATTATCGAAACCCTATCATTCGTCTCGTCTCATGGAAATGGAACCCCTTTATGCACTCGCAATGCATTCAAGATCCTTCCTGCATTATTGTTGTTAGTGGAGCTTTGAGAAGAAGTGACCTTTTCCATTAACCACTACAACAGAAGACTCATTCTAAACAGCGGGGAGCATAAAGACTCTCTCTTTGATGATTGATTGAAATCCTGCTAGGTCTGGATCCATTACAGTAAGGCAACACCAGAGCTGATACAGCCCAGTGCTGAATAGATACCCGCAGAAAGAAAATCCTCTTCCGCAGTGGTAGGAGTAAAAGAGAAACCGAGCTGCAGTGCTAGGAAACTGACAATTCTCATCACAGCATGGATCATGATTGTCTGCGGTTATACACCCACCTGATATCTGTCTCATTGGCTTTGCGTCAGTTCATTTTCAATCTTCATTTCTTTAATTGACTTAAATGAGCTTCCTAATCAAGGCTTTCTAATTGACACACCCCTCTTCCCAGCAGTGACAGGGAAACAATTGCCACTTTGTCAAAAGAAATTGGTCCAAATAAAATCTTACTTTGTCTCTAACAACTTGAGATTGTTGTATAGATTGTGACTTAAATATGTTCTGTATTATACTTATAATATACTGAATTATTGAGCCTTTATAAAATACAAACACATGTGGAATTTTCTTGAAATTCTCCTGTACCAACCCACCTGTTGTGTGAGATGCAGGTTTTACTTTTGCCCTTTTGTCTCTCTAAAAACCCACCCTGTTTGCAAAGCCTCCAATAAACCGACAGTAGCATCATTCAGATGTGTCCTTGTCTGCTTGACCCGACTCCTTCTTGACCGTGCAAAGATTTGGAGCAGTATTCTTCACTACAATAATATTGGATGTATAATATATAAGGTATGTTCTACATTGAGGCCTTAGTTTTTAACTTTTGGAGTGGTGTTGCTCACAGACAAACAGACATAACATCAGTGACCACTTGGCAGAGGTAATAACAATTCAAGCTCCACTATCAGACATGTGTTTTTTCTACTTTCAAGACCTTGTATATCCCTACACATATTATACTGTTGCATAATAGGCGTCAATACTGAAATATACATTGATCTGAAGTGAAAACATGTTTCTTTTTCAACACAATATCTTTTTCAACACAATTTCCAATGTGGTTTTACTGCAAATGGCAAATAAATGAATCTGATCTCAAAATCAGAAGTAGCTTTGTAGATACAATTACTTTCTTTCAACAATGTTTCTTTCGTGAGCTATTGACCTCGGAAGACCAAATTTGTGAATACGATGCTATTTGTGAAAAACAGCCTTGCTCACTGTGATGATACAGAGGGGACTCTCTCACACACACACACACACACACACACACAAACACACACAAACCAAAGGGAACCACTCTATACCTATTACACTAACTGCAGCAGAAAAAATAAACAGGTCAACACTCCACGGCTATTCAAATTATTTTCCCCACGGTCAGAATGTTTAGGATGGCCATCTGCTCTGGGCCTGATTATTGAACATTTAACACCAATTATATCAAATACTATATCTGGAAAATAAATTCCAAACCAGTGTAAATAATAAACTGGGCTACTATCAGGTATAATCTAGAACTAAGCCAGAAGACCAAAGAATGAGTCAAAAATGGCTGAAAATATCTGGTTAAATTCATTTTGTTAAGGAACAAGCAACTTCTCACTGAAAAGGAGGAAAAATGTGACTGTACTTGTGCTTTTCCCATTGGCAAATCTTGTTTTTTCAAAGCGTACTTGAACCAAGAAAAAACTTCTCGATTCAAGTAGTACTAGATGAAACTCGAATGGTTATAAGAAAAACATGGTTTAAGGGAGAACTGTGACACTGGAGATTGTTTCCATGACAGCAGCCAGGCTTTGGATCCTAAATACAATAAGATGAAATGACGTAAATTCATATATATATATATATGAATTTATATATGAAATATATATATATACTAGGGCTGGGCGATAAGGCAAAAAAGTAAAATCTCGATTTTATTTCCTGCTTTGGACGGTTTCAATTGTAAATCGATTTTCATTTAAGTCATCAAAGACACACTTAGCCCTTAAATTCAAGTTTCAAAACTATTTTTAATTTGTTTCCCCCAATACGTATCATAAAAGTCTTGTACAGACTGTGCTGATATTGTAAGTGTAATTCATGTGCTGCTGGAACTCTCAATATCCTTCATTCGATTTCACAAATTCGATTTTTTCAAACGCCGATCAATTGCCTAAATTCGATTTATTGCCCAGCCCTAACATATACATACAGTATATACACCTTTATGGTCATAGGCCGAATGTTTTGTGAAGTCACTTGATGTATTTACATGTGTAATCATTGCAGATCAATAGCACCCTGTTTGCTCTGCCTGCTCAGTGGAGCAGTTGACGCAAGAAAACAGAGAGGCTGTTGTCCACGTGGGTGGCCACATAAATGTGGCACTCATCTAATATGCACCACTGCACTACCTGCCAACTTACGTCCTCATTTGGATTTAATGGGAATGACCTGGAAAGGGCATCATTTGTCATGGCAGGAGCTATTCCTAGCATACTTTAAAAGTACAAATCTAAATGTATGGTGTCACATTGATTTCTATACCTAGACTGATATCATTTAATGGCTAAAGCTAAACTATGTTGGCTCATTGTTCTGCTTTCTCACCTGAAAATAAGAATGAGTTGTATCAGGCCCGTATTATAATATTTCTTCTACAGTATTAAACTTAACTATGTGCTACTGAACAATTTATTATAAAAACAAAAAAACAATACATTTTCATATAACTATTACTGACTTAACCAGTTGAAAATAAGAAGATGATAACCTTCTTTGTAATGCTAGGAACCTTGTAAAACAATTCATTAGCACTCAGCCAAGGTCACAAACTTTCAAGTAAATTCACAATGTGAATAATGAAAACAAACTACCCTAGTAAGTTAAATGCATCATTGTGCGTATATTTGCTTATCTTGTAAACACAGAGTTTTCTTGAGAAACAAGTAACATTGCATAAGAGTGTTCATGAATATATTATAAATGTATTATTTTATTTTGTTTGATTTTTCAAAAACTATTTAAGTTTTTGCTCAAAAAATCCACTCTTGCACAACGAACCAAGGACTGCCATCATTTATCCTGTTCTTCAGAACCCATTTTCTAAAATGGCAGTATGCATGTCACTTACAGAACCTTGGAGGAGGACTGGACATGTTATTCATAAAAGGTTAAGTGAAATGACCTGCTCAGATGCCTGGTAAATGGACAGTCAATTAGACACACAGTCCAGCACTAAGCTGCACATCACAACCACATCCTTTCTGACAAGACAACGGAGTCTCAATGGGAAATACCAAGTGCACATTTTAAGAAAACAGTCATGTTGCAACCTTGTCTGATCATCAAAATAACATCACGCTGAAACAGGCAGGAAAAGGAAACCTGGCCACAAGCTCTTCTATATATTTACTGTTTGTTTAAATTGAACAATTAATTTAAAAAGGAACTAAATAAATGTTATTTTAATACTTTGCAAGAACTTCAGTGTGGGTCTTCTGGAGGCTTAGGAAAAAGATCTAGTCAGTAGCAAGGGTCACCCCAGGAAAGGGTTGGCCATAATAAAACAACCCCAACATGTTAGTTTCAAGAATGTGTGCCTGTTTGTACAGGCTCACAGTATGCACACTTCAAGGACATAATCTTTAGAGTATCACTTACATTGACAGCTGCACAAGACCTTGTATATCCTTGTGTATCGGTAGTAGGTGACGGCACCACAGTGTCCAACACTTTTCTTATTCATGTTCATATTAGACAACACTTACTTTCACATGAACCATACATGCTGTGCTCAGTGAATACATCTAATGAAGACTGCACAGCAAGAAGCAAATAAGCAGTACAGCAGCAGGTGGTTTGTGGTTCAAACTTTGTCAAAGCCAAATGATTGTCTACATTTAAAGATGGCTATGCATGAGACCTTTGAAGTCACTGTCACCTTTTTCATGTCAACTAAGTTGAACTCCATTTGAACTTGCAGAAAGGCCACATCTAAGTGATGGAAACTATTGTTACTACATCTGAGAATCTGCCTGAGAATGTGTTTCACTTTTAACAGAGCTTCTCAAGATAATACAACACATATCACGTTTAATGGTACTAATCTAAGCACACAAATAGAGAAGTAATTCAAATGAAGCATAATCGACAGCTTTGTAAAGTCATCCGAGATAACTACTGTTGTGATTTAGGGCTATACACAAAAATATTGAATAGAAGGGAATAAACAATGAGATGCATAGCTCAACCATACCTTTCCCGTAATTGAAGTGAAGTTTGATCGTCTTGCCCTGATTAATGTGCAGGTACGTAAACCACACTGCCGATGTAAGCAGCACCAGGAGCAAAAGGAGCTTAAACTGCTTTCGGATCTTCTTTACGGGAAAGCGCAACATCCTGGCAGAAACATCCTACGGTGGACGCCGCTTAAAGTCTGCAATGTGGTGCGTTTGACGCTGCTGAAGGGACACTTCTCACGCCGCTTCCATCCTCTGCAGACTCGAGTAAACACGAGGTGTAACTACAGCGTTACAGCTGCACGGACGCTTTCACTGGAGCCACTGGATGACGGCAGCGCCAAACGCGTCCTGTCCTCAGACTGGGTATTAACACCTCTGTGGCAGGCATGGCTTGTGCGCACCCTCTTTTACGACTAGTAAACAAGACTTCCTCCCTTAGTTTGCAGGACAGCAGGGAAAAGGCAAAAGATCAAAAGCTTCTAAGTTCGCTCAATAGTGAGTGTGACCCAGTGAACAAAATAGCAGTCCAGCGATAATCTACACAAATCCCCTGGAGCTCAAGCCATTGGTGACACCGCGGCGCTCATTATTTCACCGGCTACTCAAGGATCATCCGGTGCCGCGGCTTTAGCGCGAAGTATCAAACTGCACGAAGGACAATGTTGCGAATCAATGGGAGCTTGCATCGCCACACAGCCAAGCGACCACGGTGTATGTAGAAATGTGATATTATTCAGTGCAAACTAGATTAGGCTGCACGGTCCAGGGAAAAAAAAACAAAAACGAAGAGGAGCATTGAACAAAGGAGAACTCACGGAGGGACTGAGTCTAAAGCCAAACATGTGGTGACAAAGAGCAAATGTCACCGGAGCCTGGTCTATTGTTACAGAGCTGAAAGTGAGACTGGACCCGGACGAGGCATCAGATTCAGATGAAGCGTGTTTTTATTGAAGTCCAGAGAGAGGAGGGGCGATCAGCTGGCATCCTCATAATCGGGTTGGTCTGAGATCCCGAGACAAGGAGAAAGGTGTTAAAGTGATATATATGTCAAAGTGCGTAAACCCCATAGTGCCGTAAGGAATACGCGTGTAAACAATGATTCAACCACGTTTGTCCAGAGTTAAATCCAGTACAAATGCATCCATGTGGTCCGTGTCACAGCAGGTGCATTTCACTAAATTATCCCCAAGTCTTGGTGATCACCTTGTCCGAGTCTGCTGTGTGGTTGCTTCAGAGACTTGGAGTAAAACCAGTCGTGTGTGCTGCTAGCAGTGAGGCAATGCCTGGTGTTGTTATCCTGTCACCAGCTTTTTTCATTGAGAATGCAGTGGTTAAACCGTCCAAGCCGCTTAAGGAGCGCAGATTGAAGAGGCGGCTGAGCTCTGAGGAAAAGTGGCTCCACGGGAAAGAAAAAACATGGGTTTGTTTTGCTACAGGAACGCATAAAGGCATCTCCTTTCAGCGCAGCGCTCCGTACGCCCATCAATTGAGCATCCTGACGGTGCAGAGCAACCTAACGCGGGGATGGGGAGCGGCGGGGCTGGCATCCAATTACAAGCGGAAGACCGGAGACTGGGGCGGGCGTTGTAGGCATAGGACACAACGGACGCAAAATTACATCTCTGTAACTTACAACATTTGCTCGTAAATATTAAATAAAAAATCCACAACTGTGTTTTTATGTTTGTGGTTTAGTTCAGTTATAAATACATAGGTTTACTAATAATATATCTTATTCTTCAATGCACTAATTGCCTATGGATATCACTGACTATTTATTGCACGCCTATTACTGCCACTCTATGGTAACTCTAGAAATTACACGTCTTTTTCGCCAGTATAAAAACAAGAGTTGGTGCTGGCTTGGGTGTGAGGTTCCTCACATTTTCCCCACTGGGTTTTTCAGTTGTGCCTTGCCATTACAGGGGGTTCTAAGGACAGTAATGATCCAGCACACTTAAGAACATTTATGGGCATTTATTAATATTTATGGAGATTGGTGATCCAGATCCCTATGGACCATTGGCTCCTATGTGTTTGTTATTATTGCGTTTCCTGCGTTAGGATAAAACTCTTAGATTTTCTGATCAGTTGTTGGTGAATCGACAAATTTGAAAAGTCTTCCGAGATGACTACTTTGATTTAGAGCTATACAAAAATGAATTGAATTGAATTGAATTGGTGTCCAAATGAAAATAAATTGTCATGATAGTTTGAGAAATCTCATTTTGATAACAAAACATAACCTGGACTGGCTGGTTTAACGGCAGATATGAATATGCTGTCATATTAAATACATGTTTATCACCAGTTATATAATCATTTTACTAAACATTTCTCAGTCCATTATCTACTGCAGCATCAATCTGAATACCAGATCAAAGGACGCTAACCTGGGCTGGATCAGTGTGACCTCAATTTAGCATGTCCCAGATGTGCTTTCAGAATCAGAAGGGAAACTATAATCCTCTGACTGCATGGATTAAAACGGCAATCATCAGAGCAAACACTGTGACTAAATTGAATTCTTGGATATTAATATTCTCCATAGAAACAAGTGGGAGACATACCTCACCAACATGCAGTTTAAAACATCTTCACAGGGTTCACCTTGGGCTGTTGCACAAAAAATACAGACTATTTCATCAGACACAGTTCTCTATCAAAGAGTAACCTCAGACAAGACGCTACTTCCACAAGTTTCCAGCAATTTGTTCTTAGGGAGAGGGATGTATGATTGTTCTGAAACACTGATCTTTTGTCCCGTGAAAAGGTCGAGGTTGAAGACGTGTGTTTATCTTTGACCCTGCGGCTGCTGCTCAAACCATTAATTGACATATTTTAGATTTAACTGATTTCTGATGTGAACAGCAGTGTTTCCTTGAGGACAATGCCCAGTTGTTTGTTTTCCTTCTCTTTCATGCCCCTCCGAGGCCTTTAGTAGCTCACGGTTACAGCCTCCAGGGATTTAGAAGAACTGGATGCGTGTTTAAGAGGAATGATGAATAAAGTCATTGAGAATAGTGGCAGCACATAGAGACCATCAAGCGGAATGTGGTCGTAATGAGGTTAAGCATTGTGCTACTTTCAGACTAAGAGTGGGATGAGATAGAATTTCCAGGAGACGGGCTGAAAGATGAGATTGAGTCCTTAAGAATGAGATGAGATTTTCCTTGAATTCATATTGAAGCAGAGTTAAGACATTGGACAAATGCATTAAAAAACGGTTTTGTCCACTTATATACCAGTGAAGTATTTAAAGCAACATACATCACCTTTTTTACCTCATAATTCATGAATAAATAATGCCTTTGCTGTCATTGTAGCAACGCAGTTGGGAAATAAGCCATCTCAAAATGTAAAACTTGCCATTATTTGTTACTTGCAGATGAAGGAGGGTCTGAGGACAGAGATGATCCGGGACATTTAAGGACATTCATGGGCGTGTAATTACATTGTTGTGAATTAGGAATGTGCTGTACAAAAATAAATATAATAGAATTGAATTAAATTGTCTAAGCCAAATGTAAACACAGCTTATACAAGATACATAAAAAGATCCCATTCCACCTGTACCCACATTCTTGTGTCAATTTCATCTTGTGATATTCTGTGGCACAAGATAAAGTCCCATTACTATTTTTGACCAAACAATATTGTTTGATGTTGAGGTGGACATTGAATTCAACCTTTCTGCGCCTTTAGCGTTTTATACAGCATTAGTTGTAAATCTGCCTCGAAACTAGTGAATAATTGATTTTGAGTTTGTGCAAATAAAAATTCTTTGCTGTAGAAAAGCATTTACGTTTAGCATAATCCACTCCTTCGGTCTAACAACCACTGTTTTCCCTTTTTTTTCATCAACTTCATGCAGGCGTTTTGGCAGACCACCCTCTCTCAGCCAATCCGCTCTCAGCTCAAAGCGCCGAATAGTGACTCACAGTGCTCTATCTATACAGTAAATGTATTCAAAAAATAAAATCTTTTTTAATGAGATACATACAGTACATGTTGTGGCCTGATTTGTTTTCACAATCTAACTTACTTTACAAGACTTTTTCTTTTGTGACAAACCATATGCAGCTTTTAGGAAAAAGTTAGGTGCAGCAGCTTTAAATTGACAGCATTGGCTTAAGTCTGCTTACTTGTCAGTCTGCCTTTAGCTTTTCTCTCTCCCCAATCTGCACCTGCCTACCTCACGTCCCTGCTCCACAGTGGCACAGGGGCTTTGATGTTTGTTCTAAGAGGAAATGTCACCAACATTAGGGGGGGCTTGTCTCCTGTGCATCATCTCTGGCTGCCCTCGGTGCCCAGCCTGGTGCTCCCCTGAACAGGTGTGCAGTGGCCTTTCGCTCGTCTCCAATTGAATCTCCTTCTGAGGAAATAACAGTCATCCGTGTTTACAGAGGAGTAAAAAGGGAAAGGGGGAGAGGTTAAATGGACACATAGGGGATAGACAGGGAAAAGTTGACGAACAAAATCTAAATTTAGTTTAATGGTCAGCACCAGTCAGTGAGAACATTCAGAATACTTAGCTTTTTCTATAGTTTAACATGGCTGTGTTGTTGAGAAACCTCATGTTATCACTTCAGGAGGACATGATAATTTAAATATTGCTTTGGTTTGTTGTCTGAAAAAGACTTATTGAACCCTAGCTACTTTATATCACGTAAATGTAACTGAACTTTACAGCATATTATCCTTCATAAGATAATAGTCCTGTACCAACCGTTTCTAACACACTTGTAATAGAGCCAAAACGTTCTTCAATGTCATTTTTATTATTTTACCTGCGGTTCTTTGATATTTCAAATGTTAAGAGACTCCATCATTGGAGTTATCCATCCATCCATTTTCTACCCTTTAATCCATTTCTGGGTCAGGGGGGTGGCAATCAGAGATGCCACCCAAGTCTCATAGCACCAGCCCCTCACTGACCCTCTGCAGGTGGTGAGTCCACAGGAGGACGGCTGCTCTCTGAGTGTGAGCATAGCCTTGATCTTTCAGTGGGGGCTCATTGGAGTTAGCAGTATACTAACTAGCATGGCCTTGCTAAGTTTTAGTTTTGCCTGATTATATTATTTCTTCGTTCTACGAGACAGCGAAATAGCTACGTGTAGCTTCTTATACGTTTTTACTGTGTATTATATAAGAATTCTGCAAGCGTCTTGTGGGTATATTTAAATTGCCTGAAATATTGGTTTCTTACCAAAATGCATTTAATATTGTTTACACACTTGCCACGTGTCTCGGTTGGCAGCCAGCCATCATTGCCTCAATTAATAATTCATAATAATTTTTTTTAAAAACATTAATCAACAATAACTCACCACAAATGAAAGGGTTAGGGTTTTTAAAAATAAAACACACAAAACATTCATCATTGAAGGTATTTGGATATTTTATACACACACTTTTTAATAACTGTTATTTGTATTTTAATTGTGTATATGTGGGAAGGGTTAAGTGGGTGTTGGGGTGTGTGTTTAATGAGTCACTGTCCTATGAACCCAGTGTTTAAATAGATATATTGCTTGTATTCCACAGTGGACTCTTTAAGGCATAACGATGGGAGGGAGACATTAGCATTCCAATTTACCATCTCAGAACAGGGCTGCTCCATGTAGATAAGTTAGCCTTCATTTACCCAAGACATGAAACAGCAGGTGTATAGGGAGTATATCAAAAGTCTTTCTACCAAAGAGAGTACAGAGTCCACTAAACTCAGCTCTGCATTGAGGGAGTCCATTAAATTAAAGAAAGGTCTGCATCTGTATTGAAGAATTTCTCTGGAGCACCAGTCTCTCTGCAACATGTAAGTTGTATGTGTGGCAATTATCAAGTTTTTGAAGAGCCCAGTATAAATGTATTTAATTTTATTTTAGGCCAATGCTGTCTATAAACCTTAAACGTGTAATGCAGTTAGTATAATACATGTGTTATTCTTCTCTAAACATATAACTATTGACACGTTAATTAATCCATCTATTACGTTGGATTTGTGATCCTGTTCAATTAAATTTAGCAAAAAGTATGCAATGTAATAACATAGTTATTCAAACCAGTGTGAGCACGCCTAGCCTATATTTCTTTCAATGGTTATTAGTCAGCTGTGTGAGAAAGAGTAGTTTGCTTGTGGTCTGCGTTCTCACATAGCATCCGTGTATGCAAAGAGTGTCTGTTTGAGTAAGCCTTCCAGGCACAAAACCACTTTGCACTTACACTCTAGACTTTAATCCAAAATCGAAACTCTCTCACCCCCATTACAGTTCAGTCATGTTTATTCTGTTTTGCAATTTTTAATATTACAGTAAAATATGTACAGATTCTAAAAGCATATAGTTCACAATAATGGAATATTTTCTTTCCTCTGATCACTATGTGTAAAGTCTGCATCATTTGACTTTAAATTGCCTCTTTCTTTCGATGCAGCCATACATTTTGTCTTCACTGTTTGTTCTGTCTTGTTGTGTCTCTCAACATCTCAGCAATAGCCTTGTATCATCACCATGGCAGCCAATCCCTCCCTGACCAACGGGAACAGTCTGGACCAAATAAACACGCCCATGGGTCCACTGGGCCAGATCACGGAAACACAATTATCATCAAATTTTGCAACTTGCAGCTCCTCCTCTTCAGGCTTCTCCAAACTCAGGAAAATCTCACAAGGACTGATGAAAAGCTTGGATGGTATGTTAAAAACAAAGAGGCAAAATAAATATACAATGCCCTAGGATAATTATCAATTTGCTTATTGCTTATTTGCTACTGAAATGTGGTTAAATACATTACAGTTTGGGGGCCACTTAAGAACTACTGCATATTTGACACCCTTTTGTATAACCAATGTATGGTGGGGCAAGACAAGTTTATAAGAATGGCACAGTTCATACACAATGCAACTCAAAATGCTTTACAAAACAAGAAAGGAAACACTAGAATCTTTAACAGATAAAAAATAATCACATCAAGTTAGATACAAACTGATTGAATATTTTACACAATGACATTTGTACGTTTAAAGAATCATTTGTAATTTCTACTTCTTCCAATGTCATTCCGCCGTCTCCTCATCAGAGCCTTCTGTGGTCCAGCGTAAATCCTCAGCCGGTTTGGAGTCTTACAGCCAGGTTCAGAAGTCTGCCCACATCCCCACGGGAGAGTCTGTCCCAGATTTTGTGGAGAAACTGCGGCCCGTAACTGCCCAGGAGGGTGAGGCGTACCTATCTCCCCCATTCCCTGACAATACACAGCATTTCTGTACGCTTTGTAGTTTATTTTTTTTGACCATTCTCTTTCTGAAACACTGGGGGTGGAGTGAAAGGCTTCTTGTGGAAAATGTGCGATTGTTATTCTAAATGTATTCTCATAACCCGAGACACTTCAAAAGGTTTTTTACAGTATTATCTTTGATCATATGTAGAATCAGAGGCCGCCACCACTGCATCCTTAGTAGCCTAGTCATGAACTGTATATGACTCTTATGCATACGATTATAACTACCTGGCATTAGTTTAGTTTTCTGTTGAGTTTTCTCTATCGCAGGAACATATATTTACATTTTAGTTTTGCAGAAAATGTAAGCTTGGAACAATGTTGTCTGGTATGAAGAGATTAACATGAATAATAGTGGTTTGTAGAATGTAAATGTTTGGTTTTACTTCACAGGAGGTAATGCCGTATTCAGAGCAAAAGTGTCTGGAAAACCTCAGCCCACTGTCATCTGGGAACGGGCCAGCGGGAGCCCTCACTCTGATGAGACCATAAGCTTTTACGAAGACTTCAATAATCAGCATATACTCAAGGTGCCAAAGACAGTTGCTTATCTCGTTGCTCAGCCAGACACAGGAAAATAATAGAAATGCAAAGTTGTATTGCTGCTGGCAAGTCTTCAGTAAACAGACATAGGTATCTACCTTTCAAGCCACGAATAATGTCTCTATGTAATAAAATCCATCTAACTAGTTACAGATTAGAAAAATGGTTCTATCACTAGTTTCACCAGCCCAAAGCTTCAAATAGTGACTCAAGATAACATTTTCCAGTTTTTTTTTTTTTCTAACAAGATGAAGACAGCATGTTGTGGTCTGATTTTTTCACATTTTACTGTTTACTGTAAAATGTTAGGCCAAACATAATGTATTACTGAAAAAATACAAGCTTAGCCGTAATCATGTGACAAACGTATGTGCATTGCTATTAACCCTAAATATTCTAAAGTATGTTGAATGTGTTTGAATGATACTAAATGTAGGTTGTTTTATTGCCTTGGATCTCTTTATACAGTTATAGCTGCAGCTCCACTCTTCAATATTTATCATAAAAGAGAAAACAACATTGTTTTATTGATCCCATAAATGTGTCACTGTATGCACATGGAGGAAACAAAAGCTAAAACTCTTATTATTCTACAATGGGTGACATTCCATACATCTTGTGGAAATAAGGCAGAATGTTGCTTTTTGAGCTGCTTTTATTTATAAGTACAGTAGATTTAAAGCTTTCTATGTAGCAGCCGAGGACCCTAAGTGTAGCTTAAGTAGCCATTATAAAGCAATTAGTTTGTGGATGCTGACATATGAATCTGCCTTTACCATCTGCTCCTCAGTGAAGAATGACTGCTCTCTTCTGTCTTAAATGTTCACTGGAGACTTGCCAGAATGATACTGCCCCACTCTGTCTGTTCTGAGTACTGCGTGTTGGGCACAAATCAAGTATTTCCTTTTCCCAGGTTAAAAATGTCGCTTTGGAAGATGGTGATGTTTACAGATGTGTTGCTTCCAATATTCACGGTGAAGCCATTTACTCTGTCTCGCTGATTGTTGCAGAAAGTAGGTTCGGAATATGCTTGCGTATTTGTGTATTTGAGTAGATACTGTGACAGCTTTTTCGTTTTACAGATCCTGCATCAGACTTGAAGAAGATGTTGAAGAAACGGTATGAATTGCATACTATACTGTACATTTTCATCTAAGAACATATTCAGATCTTACTGAATGCAATTGGTTTGGGCAGGCCTAAAGCTGGGGTACCAGTTTAGAGCCCTGTCCCCTCCCCACTTGGCCCTACTCTACTCTGCTCTGCTCTGCTCTGCTCTGCTCTGCTCTGCTCTGCTCTGCTCTACTCTACTCTACTCTACTCTACTCTGCTCTGCTCTGCTCTGCTCTGCTCTGCTCTGCTCTGCTCTGCTCTGCTCTACTCTACTCTACTCTACTCTACTCTACTCTCTACTCTCTACTCTCTACTCTCTACTCTCTACTCTACTCTCTACTCTCTACTCTCTACTCTACTCTACTCTACTCTCTACTCTCTACTCTCTACTCTACTCTACTCTACTCTCTACTCTCTACTCTGCTCTGCTCTGCTCTGCTCTGCTCTGCTCTACTCTACTCTACTCTACTCTACTCTACTCTACTCTACTCTACTCTACTCTACTCTCTACTCTCTACTCTCTACTCTACTCTACTCTACTCTACTCTACTCTACTCTACTCTACTCTGCTCTGCTCTGCTCTGCTCTGCTCTACTCTACTCTGCTCTGCTCTGCTCTGCTCTGCTCTGCTCTGCTCTGCTCTGCTCTGCTCTTCTCTACTCTACTCTACTCTACTCTACTCTACTCTACTCTGCTCTGCTCTGCTCTGCTCTGCTCTGCTCTGCTCTGCTCTGCTCTGCTCTGCTCTGCTCTACTCTACTCTACTCTACTCTACTCTACTCTGCTCTGCTCTGCTCTGCTCTGCTCTGCTCTGCTCTGCTCTTCTCTACTCTACTCTACTCTACTCTACTCTACTATACTCTACTCTCTACTCTCTACTCTCTACTCTACTCTACTCTACTCTACTCTCTACTCTCTACTCTACTCTACTCTCTACTCTCTACTCTGCTCTCTACTCTCTACTCTCTACTCTACTCTACTCTACTCTACTCTACTCTCTACTCTCTACTCTGCTCTGCTCTACTCTACTCTGCTCTGCTCTGCTCTGCTCTACTCTACTCTACTCTGCTCTGCTCTGCTCTGCTCTGCTCTGCTCTGCTCTGCTCTACTCTACTCTACTCTACTCTACTCTACTCTACTCTGCTCTGCTCTGCTCTACTCTACTCTACTCTACTCTACTCTACTCTACTCTGCTCTGCTCTGCTCTGCTCTGCTCTGCTCTGCTCTACTCTACTCTACTCTACTCTACTCTACTCTACTCTGCTCTGCTCTGCTCTGCTCTGCTCTGCTCTGCTCTGCTCTGCTCTACTCTACTCTACTCTACTATACTCTACTCTCTACTCTCTACTCTCTACTCTCTACTCTCTACTCTCTACTCTACTCTACTCTCTACTCTCTACTCTGCTCTGCTCTGCTCTACTCTTCTCTTCTCTTCTCTACTCTACTCTACTCTACTCTGCTCTGCTCTGCTCTGCTCTTCTCTACTCTACTCTACTCTACTCTACTCTACTCTACTATACTCTACTCTCTACTCTCTACTCTCTACTCTACTCTACTCTCTACTCTCTACTCTCTACTCTACTCTACTCTACTCTCTACTCTGCTCTGCTCTGCTCTGCTCTGCTCTGTTCTGCTCTACTCTACTCTACTCTACTCTACTCTACTCTACTATACTCTACTCTCTACTCTCTACTCTCTACTCTACTCTACTCTCTACTCTCTACTCTACTCTACTCTCTACTCTCTACTCTACTCTACTCTACTCTACTCTACTCTACTCTACTCTGCTCTGCTCTGCTCTGCTCTGCTCTGCTCTACTCTACTCTACTCTACTCTACTCTCTACTCTCTACTCTACTCTACTCTCTACTCTCTACTCTGCTCTGCTCTACTCTACTCTACTCTACTCTACTCTACTCTACTCTACTCTACTCTACTCTCTACTCTACTCTACTCTACTCTACTCTACTCTACTCTACTCTACTCTACTCTACTCTAATCTGCTCTGCTCTGCTCTGCTCTGCTCTGCTCTGCTCTGCTCTACTCTACTCTACTCTACTCTACTGTACCCCTATATTTACGTTTCCACTGGCCCTGTTTAACCGGGAATAGTTACTTTTTTTGTACCCACACTTGTTCTATCAAGTTTTTACTGACTGAGTGATTGGCCAGTGCTGCTGGAAGTCATGGTTACCTGGGAATTTCCCTGGGTACTGGCTAGTTTGTTGTGGGTATGTTGCTAGGGTATGGTACCAGATACTACAGGGTAATGCAAACACGACCAGGTAGAGTGGAGCCAAGTAGGGCTGGTGGAAACAGAGCTTTAACGTTCAAAGGACAAAACAATTGAACTATGTAATAAAATCTATGTGACTAGTTCCTGGCTCTAAAACAATTTGAATCAATCACTATTTTTCACATTAATTTCAATGCTCAACTCTTAGCGCAAAGAATAAAATAGTGATTCACAAGGCTCTTTCTTACAAGCACGCAAAAATATTTTGATCAAATGAAGGCTACATGTTGCGGGCTGATTCTTTCAAAAATATCAAACATGAATGGACAAAAGCAAGGACTGCCACCATTGTTTGGAACCACAGAAAGCGGCAAATTTAATTTCCTTGTAGATCCCAGAACACATGCGCTTAATGATTCCTGGAGGCAGTAAAGCCATTTGCGCTTTATATTTATACCACAATAATCTCATAAGACCCAATACAGCAACAATATGGTATTATGGTTTTATGCATTTCCTTAAAACATCCAGCTTAACATTATATTCTCAAGCTGCAGATGTTAATTATTTTAGCATTTGAAAATAAATTGACTAGTTGAAAATGCTCAATATTTGGTTAATTTCTTCGTCAAATATACATTGACTATATACGGTACAGTATATACTATATTTATGTTACCGGAAACTACTCTTTTTAAACAAAAGTTAGAATTTTTGCCTGAATTAATTCTTGAATCACAATTAACTGTTGTGATCTTTAAATAGTAGTTAATGTACTATACCAATAATGGCCGTTGTTAAAATGTTTAAGAATAGAAAGAAAACAGTTGCACTCCCCTCTTTGCGTAATGTCAAAGTTCCCAAACATCACTGCGTATATTTTGTAGTAACTTCTTCCAGAGGCTGTTTTTTTGGGCTTGTGACTTGCATGCAGTTAAATAATATGCTCTTTTAAATAGGTTTTATGAATTCAGCCTGCACAAGTCTGTTTTTTTACTTCACTAATCTCTGACCTTTTGCAGCTCTGTGGAGAAAAAAGAAGAGAAGAAACCACCTACAGAGGAGGAGATGCTGAAGATTCTGTTGGGAGCTCAGAAGAAAGACTACGAGAAGATATGTGCGGAGTACGGCTTCACTGACTTCAGAGGAATCCTGAAGAAACTCAAGGAGATGAAGAGGAAAGTGGAGGTGGAGGTAAGACACCATACAGAGACTATTCATATAACACGGGATCAGAGGAGAGAAAAAGACATTGAAGTGTGATAAGAGTGAGGAATACAAAAATAGAGCAGAAATGTGACAAACATAAAGATATGATTAAAGTTTTGTGCATTTATTGACCTTTAAAGATGATTATCAGACCATTTTGTTTTAGAATGTGAAACAATATAGTAAGTAGAAAATATATGGTAAGGTTAAAAAATGCTTTCTGCCGGTAACTCCCTATTCTACCACCAGAAGGATGAGTTGATTTTTTTTTGTAAATTCCACATTTGAAAATTACTGGTTGCAAACACAAACATGCGATTGCAAATAATACAATTTCACTTGATGACAAGTTTACGGGAAATGCTGTTGTTTTAAAAGGCGGACAGCTGCTCTGAGTGTGATGTCATTGTCATCATATTATTACAGGACTGAGACAGGAGCTTTTAGACAGAAGGAGCGGCTCTAAAACAACTTCAGCCAGGTCTGTTTCTGATGAGGAACAATGTTGTTACATGGTCAAAAGCTCAATTGGAATTTAAGCTGTGGCGAGAAGCGCAGTTTTGTCCATGCATACAACCCGATAAAGAGTTAAACATGCATGTTTTAAATGGGACACCGGATTTGTGGATGGGTCATTATAAGGACGTTATTCTTAACTGAAGAAATTGGCTAAATGCAAACACACCCTGTGGGACGAATAAAGGTTCTCTTATCTTATCTTATCTTACAAGTAGGGCCTTTATCCCCACCGCTGTCAGACTGTACAACAAGTCACTTTAAGTCACTGCACTATGACTGAAAAGAAACCTGCACTACTATTGACACTTCTTTCTAATCGCCACTTGTTTGTACATAATATATCCTGCATTAACATTTCTTACTTTTGCACAATTCTTGAGTGTTCCTGCCCTTGCCAATGTGACATGTAAATTTCTCCTGTGTGAGATTAATAAAGTCTTATCTTATCTTATCTTGAGTACATGCGTAATGGTTATTGTCACTAGCACTAGTAGCAAGACTGTTGTAGTATGTATAGCAGTAACAGTCTAGTCTAAAGAAGAATAAACCAAGGACGCTCTACTGCTGGCGCTCGACTTGATTCCAGGCCAACCCAATTGCATTTAAAGATATAAATACAACATTCACAGGATGAATAGAGAGACTTTCAGGCAGCTTCAATTTAAATCAACAAAATATGCAAACGCAAAAGATGTAGGTAAAAGTGTCTCCTTTGTTTTTGTGTTGTAGATGGTGCATGTATTAAAACCCCTGGAGGACATAAAAGCTCACGTTGGCTCCAACATAGTCTTCGACACAATCCTTGAGCTGAAGGATCCGAACGTCAGAATGCAGTGGTTCCGGGTAAGATGTTTGTGAGGGGTGGATTGAGGAATGTGTCGACATGTCCTCTCATCACACCACTTTTATTTTTGATCCAGGGCTCAGAGCTGTTGCGGACTCAATACTCTCACGGGAAGTACGAGGTCAAGCAGATGGGGACCAAACACATGTTGTGCATCTCTGCTGTGGACCTCAGCGACATGGGCACGTACTCTGTGCAGGTCGGAGACAAGAGGCTGACCGCCCGGCTTCATGTCATCAGTAAGACAAACAGACAAAACAGGAACTTCTGGTTTTGATCCAATTTTGTATATGTATTTGTATGATAGCATCTTAATCTCATAAAACAATACTGAATAAGACATCTGTGGTAATCTATACTTTATGATTTAGAGTTGAGTTGTTGAAGCTCACAAAAAGACACTGTTTACTACTTGATCATGACACATGAATAAAAGTTGAGTGAATTTATCGATTACAAAAAGCTTGAATTACTAATTAGTTACTTAATAAAACTAATTTTGATATAGATTAATGTACCTGACACCGTTGCACATCAAGCACTTAGACATGTTTCTTACAATTATTATTATTTTTGGCCATTTTGATGGGAGCAGGGTCGCTAATACAGGAGGCGCATGCCAGACCTATTGTAAATGTTTTTAGTGAAGCACCTGGAGGAAAACTATGCAGCACAGGAGAAACATGTAAACTCTATACAGAAAGGCCTGGAGGTGGATTTGAACCCTGGACCATCTTGCTGTGAGGCAGAACCGCTAAGCACTGCGCCACCGAGCCACCCATTTTATCACATGAATCATACATTTCCCAAATTTTATATTGGAAATTCACTTGTAAAAGGTTTTAATATGGATCTAGTATGAATGTCACATAGCCAACGTTTGCAGCTGTAGCAATAAAAGGACTTGGGTGAAAAAAGAAATAATATTAAGTTTATTTGACCAAAGTATAGTGCAGTGGGTATTAAACTACATTGGCACAGAGGTAACTTTCTGGTTAAAGTTAATTGTTTTTAATGTCTCTGTAGATGAGCCACTGAGATTTCTCTCCAACTTCACACCCAAAAGTGTGACTGAACGGGAGACGGCTGTGTTTGAGGTCCGCCTTTCCAAGAAGACGGATGCACCGCTGATTTGGAAGGTCAATATTTGGTTGATGTACCGAAATACAAATCAATGCATCACTATTCCGACTACTGTGCAAGTTTAAGGACAACTCACATCATTGCCAAGACGCCAGAAGGAAGATGGATTTCCCAGATGTACTTGTTCTTTTGCAGGTCAAAGATAAAGAACTGAAGCGAGATGAAAAGTTTGACGTGTCGCTGTCTGAAGACGGTTTGACCTACACGCTGAAGATTAAGAATGTGAAAGTCAGCGATACAGGAGATTACAGCATCAGCATCGGGGACCTCACTGCCACTGTGCCACTATTCATCCAAAGTACTGTATCTTATTGCAAACAAACTACTTTATTGTGTTGTGTTCTTCCCAGAAGGCCTTGTTGTTTTCTAGTCTAGCTTTTTCTCCGGTCTTGAAACAGATGAGTAGCTGCTGTGTTAAATCCCCCTGACACAAGTAAATCTATTGCTTCATTGCCGCAACAACCTAATCCAGACCCCATCTCTCAAATGAAGATCTATGGCCATCATTATACTTCCCCGTTTCTTGTGCTGGAACACTTGAAACTAATCCAACTAAATCCCACCACAGAAAAAGCTAATTTACTAACAAGCCCAAGGTGCAGGCTGGGGCATGTAAATATGTGCACAAGGACAGCGGTCTGTCTTCTGGGGTTGGAGCAAGAGGCAGTAATTGAGGCTGTGCTAATTAGAGTTATTCATGAGTGGAGTTTTATGGGCGTGGAAGGCTTTTTATTTGTCCTTAAAATGGGCCTAAAAACAAACTTACTCCTGAGGAATATAATAAGACTTTAATAGCCTAACCCATAATAACAATGGCATAGATTGCACAACGAACGCTGCTGAAGCTTGACAAGTCTCCTGGGGTCGCAAAGACTGTAGTCATTATTAAATCCTTTCAAACTCATTTAAGATAGTTCTCTAGGATGAATTTCAATCAGATTTGAATTCACAATACTGACAATCTAGGTGTTGTACCGCTCAAATACAAGGAATAAGTAATACAAAAATCTATATGTATTTTGTATCTATTAGTTTCATAAATATATGCTTAAATAATTCAGTACAATAGACAACAGACGTCATAGCAATAGAAGACATATGGGTTACCTAAGCAACCAAACTTTCAAACCACAAACAAATTGAAGTTTTCACATGCATTCTGTTACATCTATAGATCTTTTTTTTTCAGACAGAGGAGTCAAAACACGAGCACCACCCTCATGTTAGGTCTCAGCCCAAAGGGTCAAATAGCATGCAAAATATAAAATGTTCTAATTTGTTTTCTAATAAAATCAAGACTGCATGTTTTGATCTGACATGTTACTTTTCCAAGACTCTTTCTGTTGGGACAAAGTAAATAATGTATTTATTTAACAAAAATTAGGTACCCCATGTTTTATATGTATTCCCTATTATTACACTTGGACATAGTAAAAAAGTTTTGTGGTGCATAGTTCACCATTAGAATTATTTTTTTTTAAAATTATGATCTACAATGAACTTCTACTGCTTCACCCAACCTCCTTTTCAAAACCTTGTGTTGTGCAGGTTTTGAAATAACTAACAAACTAATTACAATTATTCTTTTTTAAATTTTATTTCAGGAATTCCGATCAAGTTCAACAGCCCCTTAAAGTGTGGCCGTGTGCAGGAGCGAGGAAAGGCCCGTCTGGAGTGTGAGGTGAGCTCCAAAGACGTCCAGGTCCGTTGGCTGAAGGGCGGGACCGACATCACCGCCAGTCGTCGTTATATTTTTGTCCAAGAAGGAAAGAGAGCAGAGGCCATTATTGAAGACTGCGAGCTGACAGATGCTGGGGAATACTCCATAGTGTGCACTCAGGACAACGACACACATGAGTACTTCTCCACGGCCATTTTGACTGTTGATGGTGAGAGGAAACACAAGTACAAACTTTTTAAATGTTTTGACAATATTGTATCTGATTTACAGAGCGGTTTGCATCAGTGAAGAATGACATGTCGGATGCTCAGTGTCCGACAGGTTCCTCTGCAGAAATGTGTGTGGTTCTAGATGATGAGAAAGTGGATGGGATATGGTTCAAGGATGGAAAAGAGGTATGTTCATATGTTTTGATGGCCATGGAGAAGCCAAAAGTCTTCTCATGTAGGATTGAGGGCGAGTTCACTAAGAAGAAGGTCCTTTATTCATTCCACAATGGGGAAATTTCAGTTTGATGCATACACATATACATATACATCAAGGCAAGCAGCGAACATCACCTCCGCGCTCCTTATAGGCAAAGTGTGTTAAGTGTCGGTAGAGAGGGTCTTGTCTAGTGGGCTCGAACCCACAATCTTCAAAAGCCACATACTTTATTTGTGACAAGTCTCCACTGGTCACTTAAGTCTGTGAACCAGACTTGGTCCAGTTAAAGTGAACCTGAAACTTAAAAACATTTTATTATCAATCTCATGAATGTCATAATGTCAAAAAATCTATGTAACCAGTTCCTCTCACTCAAAACAATGTGGATGTTGAACGGAGCATGTATTGTATAATTTGATTATGTAATACGAAAGACAGACCTTTAGATTGAATATTAAACAGTTTAAGTAATTATATTCAACATAATGATAACAGCTAATGTCTTTTTTCAACATTGGTAAAAGTTTAATTTTAACTCACTCATTTAAACTCACTGCTATTTAGGAAGTAAAAACTGACCAAAGACCAATATGTTAACTTTGCTGTTTGGATTTGCATGTTGTCGTTTCTTCTGTTCAGATTTCAGAGCAAAGTGGTGTGCAGGTGGTCAAACAAGGAGCTGTGCATAAGTTGTTGTTCTCTAGTGTGACTGATGTGCACGAAGGAAAGTACACATTTAAAGCAAAAGGAGCAGAGAGCGAGGCTGTGCTCAGCATCGCAGGTAAGACAAGGATTGTAAGACGTTTTTCACCACAAAAACAATAATAATCAACAATACTTGATCAACCACTTCAACAAATCTATTCCTTCAATTCATTGTTGAATAGCACTAAATTACAAAAGCAGTCGTCTCAGAGGACTTTACAAGTTTAGATTCAAATCCAGTCTCATCCAGTCTCTTTGCTTTACGGCTTGAAAAGTAGGAACAAATAGTTCAGGTCAGGATCAATTTAGCATAAGCCCATTCAATGTACCCCATAAAATATGTTTTACTCATCTAGAAATCTGAGCTTTCTGTGACCTTTCCCTCACAGACCCCCCTGAAATCGACCTCTCTGTGTTGGACTCATTGGGGGCAGAGCCTGTTACAGTGAAGGCCGGTCAGACAGCGATTATTAAAATCCCCTTCAAAGGAAAACCCCCGCCTAAGGTCACTTGGTACAAAGACGGAGCAGAGATTGTGGAGGATGAGAGGACAAAGACAGAGAGATCGGCTGATGCCACAACTCTTGTTCTCACCAGGTGGTTATCATGCGCAGGATCCAAAAGCTTTTACATCATTCATGTTTTTTGATGCTGTGTTTTTTAGATGTGTGAGAGAAGACAGCGGTGCTTTGATGTTGCGGTTAAAGAGCGACTGTGGCACCGCTGTTGCCAACCTGCAGCTCAATGTGATTGGTAGGTGTATATCTGAACAAAACATACAGGGAAAAAGGTCAAAAATAAGTGCTTGATGTCATTTTAGGCATATTTTGACTTTGAGGTTGTCAACTAGCCCAGTGTTTCCCAAAGTGGGGGACCATGTGACGTTTTGATTCTTTAAACTATCGCAACTTCCAATTTTGTCTGTAGAAGAATTGTATTTATTTTAGGGTCCCTGTCTGAAAAATGTTGTAAAACCCTGGATTATAGTCAATTTTTCTTTTCTGATTTGTCAATAACTGAATCAATTAGGTTTTTGAACCAAGAAACTAGTTTGAAGATGTATTACAGGTTTTTTTTTTTTTGCTGTTTTAAAGATAGGTTCCCCAGCTTTAACATAACATTTAACATCATGGAATTCAGAAGGAGAATATTTGGCATTTGCAGTTAAAAGCCACATCGAAATATACATGCAAAAGTAACTAAAGACAGTGTTATCCCCACTTTCTTCTTTAGACCGCCCTAAGCCTCCGCAGGGAAACGTGGAGTTCCTTGAGATGTCTAGAAAATGCATCAAGATGAAGTGGAAGGCTCCCCGGGATAACGGAGGCAAACAGGTCACTAACTATGTGGTGGAGAGGCGTCCGGCGGGTAAGAAGTCCTGGGACAGAGTGGGCCAAGTGGACAGCAGCACCACCATCTTCACCGACGATGACGTGAGTGAGGGCGAGGCCTATCAGTACCGCATCAGAGCCGTGAATGAAGAAGGAGAGAGTGAGCCGCTGGAGACCGAGGACGTCCGAGCCGGAGAGCCCATAGGTAAAAACGACACAATATCAAGGGATACTTGAAGATATATTCAGCAAATAGTAATACAATGTAGCAGTAACTTTTTATTGGAGGTTCTGCCATTTTGCTTTCTGCGGTGGAAAAAAATACTAGTCTTAGATACAGTACAGGCTGGATTTAAGACTATGGAGCACCTGTATATAAGCCGCACAAACTACATTTTTTAAGAACGTTATTTTTAGTCCACCTTTGTTCTTCAGGGATGTGCCCTAGTGGTGTTGGTAGGATGAGTCAAATGCAGAGGACACATTTCCAAATGGGGACAACAGAGTATTTAAGATAGATCAACTTGCAAACTGTGGAATATTACATAGGCGTAGAACGATATCAAATCAAGGAGACAACCATTCACCTTGTAGAAAATTGGCTCAGTGCTCCTTTAAATTAATGTAGTAAAACAGAAATTGTTTTTGTTGCCCAAAAATAATCAGCGAGAAATCCATCAATAATCAAACACCTGAGAGAACCTGGATGATATTTTGTAATATTGTAATATTGGAACAAGTGCACACAGTAGAACATATCCCTGGCCAGCCTCCTCCTGCTAATACTTTGTTAATAGAACAAGTTTTAGTGTAGCTTGTGAGGCATTGTCACAGATTATGTTATCCTCGCTTTGTTGCTTTCTCTACATCGGGTCCAGTGCAGAGCAGAGAGCCCCAGTCTGATGACATAACCAGTTTGTCCCCACAACATAGTGAAGTTATTCCTTGACACACTGCACATACTATCCTGGCATCTATACAAGAGCACAGAGCAGGATACGATCTGGAGACAGCAGCCAGTGATCGTCCCTGTGCCACCTTATCCTGGGTGTATGAATCTGTAGCACATGGAAGGAAGATTTCCCCAAACCCTTGAAATTGAGGTTTTCAATCTTAATGGAATTTTCCCGGTCAAATAATAGTGAATAAAAGGAAAAATAAGCAAATCAGCATTATTTAAAGGGAATTTCTAAAAGCAGCACTAACGTAATAGAGCTTCTTGTGCCAACAGAGCCCCCGGGTGTGGTCTCCCAGCCTCAGGTGTCCAATGTGACAAAGGACACTATGACCGTGAGCTGGACTCCTCCGAGTGACGATGGAGGAGCCCCTGTCTTAGGGCACATCCTGGAGAGGAGGAAGAAAGGCAGCAATATGTGGCTGCAGCTCAATAAGGACCTCATCACCGGTCAGAGCGTGATTTTTTTGGATAATTATTTTGTGGGATTTTGTGGTGAGCATTCAGCAGGGTCATGTTTTGTTATTACCTCAATGTTATTGCTTCCAGACTCCAAATTCCAGGTGGACGGCCTGGTGGAGGGTGCAGAGTATGAGTTTCGAGTCACCAGCGTAAACAGGGCTGGTGCAGGCAGTCCCAGCACAATCTCCAATTCTGTCCAAGCCAAAGACCCCATACGTGAGACTCTTTCCAAACTTGTATTAGCAAATGTGTTAAGAGTAGTCAAAACATGCACTGGAGTAAGAGTACTTTGAAATGATAAAAAAGCAAAGCGGGAAATTATTTTGCTAAAAGAGGAGAAAACAGTGGTCTATTTGGAGCTCAAAAGTCATACACAAGCCCAAGTGAAAGTATTATTATAATTTTTTTATTTATTCATTAATTTGAATTTAGGACAGTACATATTCATTAATGTGTCTGCAAACAGCGTCAACATAAATATGCTGGAATTAGAACAATAGCTAAATTGCATCCAAGTATTTTATTGATTACATTGAACGAGCCTAAAAGTAACAAATAATATAATTATTTATGTCTGGTATTATCAAATCCTTCACACTAGGAAATAAGGTGTAGGATTCAATTAATATTACTATATATTGATACAATTACTTTAATATTTAGAACTGGTTGCTTTGCTTTATCAACTAATCCAGTTAACTAACTTTTGTCACAAACTCACAGAAGTACAGGGCACTTTAAAACGGATAAAACTAATTTAAGGCAGTCATTTTGTTGTATTTATTTTAGTAAAGTATTAATAAGATTTCCAAATGGGACAAGAGAAAGAAAATATTTTCTTATTCCAACCTCTCTTATAAATCACAAAAACCCTTGTTTTTGAACTGACAAACCTTTCCTACAATCAAGATCAATTAAAGCCATTTCAAGCCATTTTTGACTTTTTCTTTGTTTTTCAGTCAATCCTAAATATTTATTCAAAAAAGAGTATTCGGCATGTTATTATTGTTCATATAAAATACTGCTTGAGTATGAGTAAAAGTCAAACTAGTCAACAAATAGTGAAGATTTTGTGCTTATTACCCAGACAATACTGTGTTGTAACCAAATGTCATTTCAGGAGCTCCTGGTCGTGTGAAGAACTTATTTGTTTCCGATTCTACCTTCTCCACTGTTTCCCTGAGGTGGAGCGCTCCCGACTCCGGAGACGAGCCTTCGGGCTACGTTCTGGAAGCTCGTCCGGAGAATAGCAAAGACTGGAATAAAGTTACTAAAGTACCTGTGGCTGGGATGAGTTTCACCGTGGCAGGACTCAAGGAGAGGGTCAAGTACTTCTTCCGTATCCGTGCCGTCAACGAAGGAGGACAGGGGGAGTCTGTGGAAATGTCTAAAGGAGTGTTGGCCATGCCTCCCCCTGGTAATGGATCAGTATCGAAGTCTTGTATATAGGTCGCTTTTTTCACTTTTATATGTGTTATTTCACAGTGTCTCCGAGATTTGACCTGGATGCGAAGCTGAGGAGCCAAGTGGTTGTCAGGGCCGGAACAGCACTCTGCCTTCGCCTCAGCTTTTTTGTAAGGATTTTAAAGTGCCATATACACACACACACGCACACACACGCATACACAAATACACACACACGCCCACACACACACACACACACACACCAGCTTTTCTTTATACAGTTTTGCTTGAAGGTCCAGATTCCTAGACAGAAATTTAGATTTTTCAATTTTTTTGGTGCCATATTTTGAATGATAACGACAATTTTCACTCATTGTTAGTAGTTTTGTGAAGCCGTATTGTTACGAATAGTATTTTGGGCCGGTCTATGCTTGAACGCCAACGCAGAGACAGAGACGTGGCTGGATTCACCATCTAAAAGTGGTTACAATTCCAAAAACAAACACAAAGGCAAGTGGGCAGTGAAGGCTTGGAGTTCAGACCTGAGCACAAGACAAAAATAGTAAATAAGAATAAACAAGGTAAGTCTGACAAAAAACTCACAAGCCGATGTAGTTTTTGTATAGCCCTAAATCACAACAGTGGTTATCTCGGAGGACTTTACAAAACCGTTGATTCCCAACAACAGATTGATGCAACGATAAATAAATACATAGAGCCAAACTTGAGACGTGGAATGATCTGTCAGAGAAGAGGAGTCTGAACCAGTGTTATAACGACAGGGTGACGAGTGAATATGATGAAGGTGTGAGTACCTGTCAGCAGCAGAAGATCAGGCCACGCCCCCGTCACACAAATGCACTAATCCACAGAAAGGGAGGGGGGAGGCAAAGCCAAAGAGACAGGAATCCAACATCATACATAGTCAAATAAACTTGTTTTCTATTTTCAAATTAGATTCAGATTCAGATTTGCCATTTGCAGTAAAACCACATTGGAATACATTTACACAAGTCCCCAGTGTGCACCAGGCAAGTCCGGTACCTGAATAAAACCAGGCTAAAAGCACTGAAGTAAAACAAAATCGAGCCACTTTGGGAAGTTGTTTAGTCCATGCAAGGCAGCACAGAAATGTACAGGAACTGAAGAAGAATGTGCAGCTTTTACCATCAGAGCATAAAATAACCTCATTCACCGCTACCACAACCCACGCTGTTTAGAACTGGGGGATGGCCTTTTATAATCAGGGTCAGAGGAAGTTAATGTTTGAAAATAGAAACATATATATATATATATATTTTTTATTACAATAAATAGTTTTACAAAACCACTAGCAATAAAAGGAGAAAACAGTGGTTGCATCATCATTCATGACCTTCTAAATATGGCCAATTATTATTAGCAATTTGAAGTCCCCCTAGATAAAGTTGAGCTGCAATGCTAACTTAATCACTAACAGCACATTTTCACTGTGATTATATGATTCCTGAGCCACTGTTGAAAGGATTTTTATTCCTATATATTGTCTTTCAATATTTTTCCTCTTGTACTATCACATACTTGACCATCTTCCTTCCAATCTTGCAGGCTTCTCCTCCTCCGTTAGTTTCCTGGTTTAAGGACGGGTGCTCCACAACCGGACGGGAGGCCATCATCAGGGGGAACAACCACTCCCAGCTCCTCATCTCTTCTTCCGTTCGCTCGGACTCCGGCGTGTACCGCGTCCACCTGAAGAATGAGTTTGGAGAATCTCACTACAACGTCACTGTCAAGGTCACAGGCAAGTTACTGCTGAGTTTTGTGACCAGCAGCAGACGTCCACTTTCCAAAATTATATGTTAACATTTGAGCTGGCTGACAGGGGCATATTTAGAGCTCTTTGGGAGGCTTAGACCAAGCAGGTGTATTTGTATGGCACAATTTAAACACAAGGCAACTCAAAGGGCTTTACAAAACAAGAAAGAAAACCTAAATAATCACAATACATACAACATTCTGATTTATACACACAGCTAAACATAACAATCTTTAACCTAGACTTGAACATCGTCAGAGAAGAATCCTATCTCACATTCAGGAAGATGGTTCCAGATTATAGCTGCATAAATCTGTTTAAAATAATTTGAAAATAATCTATCTATTTATTTTATTCGAGTATCAAAGTTTCACATTGTCCAGCATGTTTTGAACAAAAATCAAGGTTCAGCAGATGGTAAAGAAACGAAGCAGGTAAGGAAAATACATAACACCTTTGATGCTCAAAAGGAGTAGGCAGAAGCAAGACACTTTGCAATTACATTTTTCAGTCAAGATAATGTTTTCAAAAAACATAAGAACATAAGAAAAGAAAAGTGATTCCCAATAGTTGAAAAATATCAATAATAGCTTCTATGTTTGTTTTTGAATGACCAGTGCCTTGCCTTGTGTAAACTACCCCACAGTCCATGCATTGCACTGCTCTGAATTTGGAAAGGAAGAACCAATCTGAAATCATAAAAGACATAAAATCCTATCACTGCAGTCTAGCCATGTATTCCATCTCAGTTTTTTAGTAAATCCAGAGTTACAGTTAAACTCATAACTGTGTGTTTGTTTTTTTCTTTTGTCTGTATGTATGTTTCAAATTGGACCTTGAGTCTGTAATAAAGTTGAATTGAATTGAAATTATGAAAAACGTTGTGTCTTATCCTCAACTTATTGCTATATCTCTCTATCATTTGGTCTTCCTCTCGCCCAGACTTCCCTCGCCCCCCAACGAAGCTGTGTTTGGTGGAGGAGGTTCCGGGCACGGTGACCCTGCACTGGGAGCACACTCCTGACCTGGCCGACGATGACGAGCGGGCGCACTATGTCATCCTGAAGAGGGACACCAGCACCACGTCCTGGTTCACAGTGGCACAGCGAGTGTTCAGTAAAAAGTACACGGTCACAGGGTTATTGCCTGGCAGAAAGTACTACTTCAGAGTCTTCGCTCAGAATTTCATTGGAGACAGCGACCCGTTGGATTCAAAAGAGCCATATTTCATCCCCAAAGAGAAAGGTATCGTATGTGAATGTGTTCTTTCACACTTTGTCGTTGGCCTGAGCTCAATTCAATCTTGTCTTAATTTTTGCTGTGATTTGTGCTCAAGGGAATAGGCACCGGTTGTGTCTTGTTGCTATGGAGGTATTTTTTATTAATAGCAACCTGTGTAGAGGACTCAAACTGTGGTTTTAGATCACAGCCAAAACAGTATTGGTAATAGAGCTGAGATAGAATTTAATGTTTTAAAGCTGAGGTTCTTGACTTTAAACCTGCACGGTATTGGAAATTAGAGCAATATTCGATAAGAGTGTTTAGTATTTACAATATTTTTGCGATAATTTTGTCTTTCACCTAAACGGAAGAGACAAATAACAAATAAGCACAATATTAATGACATTCAAATGCATATATTTATATACTCTGTTTGCTTGTTTGTTGTTCTTGTTGAATGTTGATGTGTCTTTAATAAAGAAAAAAATATATATATATTATTATTATTTTTATTTTTTTATCATGCTTTTTTTTATATGGATATTGCACGTACAAAAATAGCAATAACGACATTTTTTCGGTATATTGTGCAGTCTTATTGTAAACCATATCCAATTGTACAACATGTGTCTCTGAACTGGAATCAAACTATAATACATGCTTTATTGTTTCCCCAACTATCTCGCACATAAACAAATATGGTAAAATGTATTGAAGTGCTCAGATAAAGCTCAGATAAAGCCTTTGTTATAGAGTCTTAAAACAAATAATGAATGTAAAATCCTCTTGGCAGATTTCCATTACAGAGAAACAGTTTATCATAAGTTTCCGTGTATTTTCCCAGTTCTCAAATCCCTCATGCTGCTGCAACAGTGGGTCACCTTTGAACATTTAAAGTCATGTTATGAAAAGATACAAAACCAACTTGTTTATCCTTGTGCTGTTTTCAGAGAGTGTCCGTGGCCTGAATCTAAAGCAGTTCACAGCCCGGTCACGTCAGGTAAAGCCCAGTTTCCTGCTCCCACTGAAAGACCACGCTGTCCGCAGGGGAAACGACTGCACTATGAGCTGTGCCTATCAGGGCATGCCAACGCCACAGGTTTGGGAACGTCTATTGTTGCATTTGAAAGGGCTTTTTAATCGCGCAGCCTTTGTGTTATTTCACCTCTAATTTTGCAAGTGAATTTCAGGGCTGGCACAGTATGAAATTCTCAGTATGAACATATATTGCAGATGATAAAGATAATAAACAAAAACAATACATTTTTAGTTATTATAAATGTGCCTCCATAACATAGCAGAGCAATAAGGAAAATAGACATTGAAAATCATCTCAGTCATTATTCAGGATATGATTTGATTATTATCTTCTTGCATTTGCTTCTATATTTATCTGTTTTGTAAATGTTCATTCAGCAGTTTTAAATGTACTATCTAAAATCCATTTGATTTGATGTGAAAGACCTTGAACATTATTTCCATGAAAGACCACTCATACTAGTTTTTACTTTAGATGGTTAAAATGGCTACTTTCCCCTCCTACATTTTTTTAATCTATTTTAACATAGCAGTTGCATTCTGGTCCAGCATCACAGTATCAATAATGTAGCCTTTTATACTTAGAATTATCTATTGTCTATCATACGTAGTTATGACAGAAATTATCTTCGGCTTGCAATTACACACAAGTTCCAAGACAAGCATACAGATTATGATTTGTTTTAACATCTAAATAAGCACATTAGATTTAAATAAACCTGCAAATCAATACTTCTGTAGATGACGCTCCCAAACATGGAAAAAGAAAGCAGATTTTGTTGTTTTGTTTTGTGCAGGCTTGTTGGTTTAAAGGAGAGACCAAAATCTCTAAGTGCACCCGCTTTTGGCAGAGCACGGCCAACGGAGTGTGCACCCTGGTCATTCCAACCTGCGGAACCAAAGATGAAGGACAATACACACTGGTGCTGGAGAATCCCCTGGGAGAGGCCAGGTGTTCTTGCAATCTGCTCATCTTTGGTACGTATTTAAAAAAAAAAGGACAAAAAACCAACACAGTATTATACAGACACAAGATGGTTCATGTGATTAAGATAAAAACAGAAGAGAAGAAAACCTTTACTCATCCCATAGTGAAGACATTTTAGTGGGAATGTCTCCACTGTTACTATTGCTACTAGTGAGCAATAGTAAGCAGACATGGGGAGAACATGCAAACTCCCTTCAGAAAGGCCCTGTTCCGACTATGGGATTCAAACCCAGGACCTTCTTGCTGAGAATGAATAAAAGCAGTTGATGGAAACTTACCTCCACATAAATGAAATGCAGAGTAAAAAACAAGCACTTTTTTTTTTTACATTATCATAATTTTATATAATGGCAATATTTTTATATAATGGCAATATTTTTACGTATTTATTTATACATATTACAATAATGACTAAATACTGTAAATACAGCTCACAAAATAAAACATGAAATGGACATAATCAAACAAAAAAATGAAATGGCCTACTTTGGTTTTATATTTCTGTTTTACATTACAGACAAAGATGACAGCCTTTTGGAGGGTCTGGATAATCCCACCAGTAAAGAGAAACTGATCCAGTGAGTCTGAATCTCACGGAAGAACAAAGATCTTTCAGCTGCATGTTTCTGTCATGGACTCTTTTAGTTCATATTTACAGTCTACGGTCACACCACGGTGCACTTATTATAGCTTTGTAGTTTTATGAGTGACCACTAGAGGGCAGAGTTGTTCCAGTAAAGAAGCGGATTGAGGTTGATGTTTTACTGAACCTTCAACCATCTATTTGATTTACTTAAACTTTTTGCTTGAGTTGTTTTCCCACAATTCCATCTCCAATTCTCACCTTCTGTACTTGGTATGATTTTTAAATGCAAATAAAAACATACATGCCCATTCATTATTTCACTCTTTTGTCCAACTATGGCTTTAGAAAATGTAGTGTATATGCAAATAGTCACAGCCTCATTTTCATGTTAACTTTAAAATCCTCTCACCACACCCATTCTGCAATTTCCCCATTTTTATTTTGCCTGTTTTGTGCTTGTATATATCACTGGCTCTGGCTCAAAAAAACTCCACTTGTGCTTGATGAAAGAATGAGAGCACATTTCTGACAATCCTGTAATATTGCATTTTAACTCAAAACGAGGCCAGAGTTTAAGAGGGTTATCTATCACATTAGATCAACCACGCAGCAGCTGCATCCATATCTTTTTTATGCTCACCGGGATTAGGATTTAGAAAAGAGAATCAGGCAAATTATCGCGTGGCAAAGCAACTATACGACCTCAGCTGCATTAATCATTTTTAATAGTTTAGCAAACGTATTCATAAAGCACCATTCGTACAGAAGCATACCAGGGCACAGAAAGAACATCGGGACACAATAAAACATTGCAGGAATAAAAACAAAACAAAATGAGATATATACATTAGAATGATATGCACTGTATCTCAAAGGATTACTATCTGATCAATATAGCTTATTATTTTTGAACCGCGTAAGCACGTTTGTAGCATATAGAGAAATAAATATGCTTCTTTATTATTTCTAAATGATCCAGGACCATTTATAAACACAAACCTGGCATCCGCAAAATCGCCTACCTGTGTTTTTCTCACAAATTTTAATATTATACAGTTTATTACTACTATTAATTACAGTAATTCTCTATTTCTTGTGCAGGGCTCTACATTTTGTCGGTATCACATCTCATTTCTGTTTTTACCCAATGGTTATGTCAGTATGTTAGAGGCAAAGCAAATGATTGACCAAAACCCCATTCTGTGAAAAGGTCATTGTGGACTCAGCCAAATTTAAACTATTGTGAACCTGGCTTCATTCTGACAAAAGGTGAAAGCAGATAAGAGTGTGGACTTGTATTTAACAGCTAGAAAGGCTGCTTGCTGATTGAGTGCTAGAAATATAAAGCAAATTGGGTTGTTGAAAAAGGCTGTTTTACAATTACATCCAATCAAAGCCATTATGTTAGCAGGAAGTGTGTCTCACCAGGGTTGGAAGAGACAAGAGTTCTTTGATTGAGAGTTCTTTGGCTGCAACTGAAAGAGATTCTTTGAAAGAGAACTGGCTCGAGCCCAAAATGAACGAAGCAATGTGCATTGGTTTCAAAGGAGGAAAGAGCAGCAAATATATCCCTGTCTGGTTTTACACACTGTGGTTGTGGGCCCTGTGATGCCATGTAGGGACCATAGGAGTCCATAAACAAAAAGGAACGTACAATTATTATATTTGTAGTATTGGCAAAACACAGATAATTCTAAAATATTGTTATTTCTGTATTTCAATGTTGGTGAATCTAATATACAGTGACTCTTTTGTGCGTTGTCTTATCAGAAAGCCGAGCAGTTGAGCCCCACTTAATGTAACTGCCTTACTTCCTTTGTTGATAACTGCCTAAAAACTAGATTTGCATATGAACTGAAGACCAAATTATCCTTTTTGAATCAATAGAATAATGGATAAACACGTGATTCTATGGATTCAAAGGGGTTCAGCAGGTGGCAGTACCGGTATTTAATATTAGCATGTTTTTTTGGTTTTCATATTCTTTTTCACACATACATAAATACAAACATACAAACACATTAACACCTACATATTTCCATGACAGCACTTGTTTTGTTTTTGCATACTTTATTTGATTCTTATTACTTATTATTATTTTCTTTGCTCACTGCTTTGGATGTTAAAAAATACCCTCCCACCACCCTTTCCCTCGACCACTCCCACTAGATTGATAGATAGATACTTTATTGATCCCTGAAGGAGATCAAGAAATCAGGAGAAACAGATCAGGAGAAATTCACAAACCTTTCAATCTCCCACCAACATATTCTCATATTCTGGGTTCATTTAGTCTCGAGTTAAAACGTCTTTTTGTGGTTGGATTAATGACCTTAATAACATGTTTTGGCTTCGGAGCTGCGAGCCATCTTCAAAGCTGTCACCCCCGCATTATTCTATCATGATTATGAACTAAATATTGGTCTTAATCTCTTTCGGTAAATGACAATTGCAAATAGAAAAAACCATGAACAAGACAAATTGGTAATATTGCATTGCAGTTGCATTTATTTCTCCAATAGATATTCACATTCATAGCAGTTTCACTACAGCAATTAAACTATGTATTCCTAAATACAATAAAATCACTGAGTAAAAACCAAAACAATACAAGGTAAAGTGTCATTATGCGCTAAAGCGATTTGTCGAATAATGGATTTGAAAATAAAAATCAGTCACTGTGTCCCCTAAAAAGTCAGACAAAAATAAGAAGGGGTTTCTGCTTGTTTTCGGTGCAACACTATAAAAGTTTAATACATAACACTTCAATATTAGGTAATGCCTCTGAAACCAACACAAGAATTCAAATTGAAATCATCTTGTTTGCGATTGACGATAAGGAAAAGAGTGCGAGTGTAAAAGAGACGGACTAATGGACTAAATAATGACACCAAGTTTCGTTTTACAAAAGGATCATGGTTTTGTTTTACAGACTTGTCTCGGGATGTGTCTGCAATGGGCACCATATCTTGAACCAAACAAAATGTAAAAACTGCAGTAATTATTGGGGCAGTGGTCGCCGAAAGACATTCTTGGTTGACTAAAGTTATTCCTAGTATTGCCATAAAAAAGGGGGCGCGTCAAAAAGCTTTCAAAAATATGTTTCTGACCAATATTGTACTCACATAACTTCAGGCATAATAAAATAATCACTATAAATACAGGATGGGTGAGCTTGTGAAATGAGATCTGAATACCAAAGTAAAATACATTTCAGCTAATTTGTTGCATTATTCTGATGTTTCCCCAAAAATAAAAATACTTGAATGTTAAAGCTTGTAATTTGTTTTATAAATACAATCTGTTTGTCCCAACAGAAAGAATCTTTTTGCAGTAACATTGTGTGAACGTATCTGGCCACAACAGTCTGCAACTTTCTATTTCTTGCACTAGAATAGACAGTATTCTATAAAAGCTTCTTCATTAAGCTAAAGTCAGAGGTTTTGCTAAAGTTGGATATTTTGGACTTGCTTCTTGATTATGCTAAAGATAGAGATTTAATTGTATTTTAAAGTTATTGTTCATATATATTTTTCTGTGTGCTCCTCATTCCTACTGTTCTGAAAACTGGTGATGCAACACTGAAATGTATCTAATCTTAATCTTACTAGAAAACATGTTATCTTTTACATACTGCAGTCTGATTGGCAGAGTGAGGTCGGTGGATGTGAAAGAAGCCAAAAATACAGACATGTGAAAACTAGTGATAGAACCAACAACTAAATACATGTTTTTTTGAGGTTTTTTTGGGGAAGTTAGATACTCCAGCTTTAAAAAAAACAATAAACAAAAAAACACCAACATCCCTAGCAATGAACAATGTGTTGAAATAGTGATGTCAAGCGCAGTTTAAAAAGCCAGTGCTTCTGAGCATTGTGGCCCTCTCAACAGCCTGCCTTTGTCTGCAAACATAAAAGCTTTAAACAACAGTCGCTGACAGGCTGAGGTAAGGTGATGCCCCCGCGGACCCACCATCTGCAGACGACCTCTTTCTTGTGTCATACTGTATTTCAGCCCTAAATCCAGCTACAGTAACAAAAACAAAACAAGTGGAGGGGTAGAGAACTGGAGAGAGAGAGAGGGAGAGGGCCCCTGACACAAATGAATGATTGAACTGCAGCCGAGTCAAGAGACCACTCAAGAGAATTGGCAATAGAGAAGTGACGAGCGGAAAGTATAAAAGAAAGCCAACAATATAAAAGGTGAAATAAAGTGATCGGAATGTTCTATAAAGCTGGGGTACTTAACTTTCAATGTGTCAAAAAAATCCATCATCATGCTTTGCTCTCAAAACAGCTGGGTTCGATTGCCAGTTTTCACATGCATCAGTCACATTTTTTCAGCTAATCAGCCCAAAGTGTCAAATAGTGACTCTCGGGGCTCTTTCTTACAAGTATAGCAAAATATATATGTTGTAGTCCGGTTTGCCCACAACATTTTGCTAATAAAATACTTTTAAGTTGGGTCAAAACAAAATGTATTTACTTGTGGGATAAACGCTTTAAAACATTAGTGGTGTTTCAATGCAAGAGTGCTTGGTATGATCAGATACTATATGCACATTCAATATAAAATTGTAAATTACCGTTATCGCTCTCACTACAACAGAGAGATTGTGTTATTTTCCAGGGACCGGTGGCATAAAACACATCTCTTCCTGTCTGGTGGCATCATTTCCTTATCTCTGTGCTTAGAGATGCATACAGTATATGGTTTTTGAATATTGTCATTCTATTGCTTTTAATACAGCAACGGATAAATATGAAAAGAAATGATAAAACAATGTGTGACCCTAATATTGCTATACAGCTTTCCCCTGGCTCTAGAGTAAATTACATAAGAACCTCTCTGTCAAAAAGCATTAATGAAATTGGAGTGACATGAAAAGTAAAAAAGCCTTGTGCTACTTTTGCCTTGACGGACAGAGTGAAAAAAAAAAGTGGCCAGAGCGCTGTGACGTCTGACGATGGAGAAGTATTGTGCTGACAGAGGAAACGTGAAGGAACTCTCAATGGGGTCAGTTGGAGTGTCTTTTCAGGTCACTGCGACTGTTTCTGCTTATTGAAGGGTTTGTTAGTGTTAAGCCAACACCGGGATCTGCCGGCAGATCTGGAATACGGGCTCACATTATCACATGATGCAAAAACACCACTCAGCATCTGTCCCCCAGCATGTGTGCGTATGCAAAACCCATAATAGGGGCCAGATTCATAATTTTTTTTCGATAGACAGGTCTAAAGCCAACTCCCTGGCACTAAAATCCTGTTTCAAAGAATATACTATTTTGGGTATAAAGCTAGCCTGGTCGTACCACACCATAGTACAAATGCCATTTCGTACTAAGGTCTGGACGTGCTCCATTGAGCTCCGTTTACAGGTGGGAGGGATTAACTCCTTTTGCAGATTGAAACGATTGGATCTGAGTTTACCATGACGTATGTAATGCGCCCGAGTCTGTCGTTAGCATTCAGCATTTAGCCTAGCCATCTCCTTTGCCACTAACGGAGCCTGTGGGGAGTAGCGCCACAACCTTTGCAGCAATCACCTTTGCTACCCATTCCTCCAGCTCCGGCTACAATTTCTTGATAGAACCAGACCGGAATACTTTACTATCGCATTCTTCGCCATTGCCAAACTACAACCAGCCCGTTCGGCGCAAACTCTTGACGTCACCCACTTGACTACAACACCCGCCTCCCGCACTCGCAGATTGGTCGGTCGAAATTCAACCGATTGTATTCGCTAACACAGGGACCAGACCCAGACGTTATATGCAGTGAAATGATGATTGAGCGGAGTGTACGGATGGATAAGGCCAGGATAGTATAAAGCCAACAAAAAAGTTTTTTTCTCTTCCTGAAATGTCAATTCTTAAATTAATACTTCACTTTGATTTTAAAATAGAATACCATTTAAAGTGGAAATGAAGATTAATCATTATGACAGCCATTTACAGTCTATGAGCCTGACTCAATAATACATGCAATACATTAACTATTACTACAACTACTTCTAACAATAGTGGTATTCTCTGCCTTCATCTAACACGAGAGCGTTTTTAATGTGCAGTACTCTTTAAGTTGTCTACTACTGGAACATGTCCAGTCAAATACTAGTGCTAGTACTGCTATAATGCTGACAGAGATCCGTTGAAATGCTTACAGTAAGTATAGGTTTATGTAAGAGCTTTGTCACAAGTATTTCATCGGTAGTGAGTCACAAAACTGAAGTCGTCACTGTCTAAAAACAAGAGCAACACCAACGTCTGTGACTGAATTGGTTTTGGGCCAATTCACGTTTGCCTCAAAATCGATCACATCACACGTCTGCAGCCGCCACAAAGCCTCAGTGTGATTGCTCGCTCAGCTCGTCACAATCCCCTGCCTTATATTTGATGAATCCATACACTGCTCTTTAAAGCTCGGGTACCCAACTTTCAAACCACAAAACATTTAACTTTCTAACACAATTCATCTAACTGGTTCCATGCTTTAAAAAAATTCATGTTTTTCTGCCTCTGCCACATCTTTAGATAAGCGTTATTTTAGACAGAAGAGTGAATAAGGGAGGACCACCCTCACTCAGCCAATCAGCTCTCAGCAAAGCGTTAAAAAGTGAGGGCTCAATTGCAGGGCTCTTGCTTACAAGTATCCAAAAGATACATTGCTTTAGAACAAGATGAGACAGCATCTTGTGAGGTCTGATTCTTTCACAACATTTTACAATTACAGTAGTCTTTATGAAAAAGTTAGGTACCCCAGCTTTATAATAACATTATTGCACACTGGCTCTCAAACCTTCAGGGACCTGCTGCCGGGTCTGGACTGAAGTAATAAGTAAACAAAAACAAACTGTTCATACTGAGTGAAATGATAAGGATCTCTTTGATATATTACCTGACTTAAAAATAGCACCTTCAAAACAAGGAAGAGTAATGTTTTTGGACCACACGCATTAAGAGAAAGAGATATAAGTCAAACTCGTGACATTAAAACAAAACAATTCACATTCCCGCTGCCATCACCATGTCTTTCTCTATGGTATCTACCTTTTTTAAGATCTGTGATTGATTCGAATGTCAAATACAAAAACCTTTGATAAAACTATGAGAAAAGTGAAAGATGAATGAACAATACTGAAAAACTGCCGGTCTAAAGTCTACTACATATAAATACTATCAATCTAGAGCAGGGATTATTCAACAATATTCCCAAGGATACCTCCAGAAAAAGTGCTCAAGACACTTTCCTCTAACACAGTTTGGTGTCGCACAGAATCTCGAGCACTAGAATAAATACAGTAAAAGGTATTAAAGGTACCAATGAGATTCAAACCAACCTAGACTAAACTATTATTAGATTACCATAACTAGCCAGGATTTACCCAGACTTTAACCAGGAAAATCGGCTTCATTCCTAATACTGGGAAGCTAGGGCAGGAGATTTGGTTTTTCAAATACTTAAGAAAACAATGCTATGCTTACTACGCATCGTTGAGAAATCCCCATAGTTTAACATTGACCAAAGATTCTGACGCTGTGCTTCGTACTACCTTGATCTCACAGGTGCAAGACGGGTTGCAAACTATCACATTTGTGCAAAAGGGTGAGGGCCATGCGAGGGCCGTGTGTTTGAGCGCGTACGCCACACTGAAATGAAAGACGGGAGGCTGGATTCTGGCAGTGAAACATGTCCTTTCTCGTCACTAGGAATCAAAATGTGCGCAGTAGTAGTAGTAGTAGTAGTAGTTCCGATCGCAACTCCCTCCGACATTCACAATCTCTTCTTCACTTCCACGTCCTGGCATTCCACGACCGACAGCGCGATCAGCATCTGCGCCGCGTAGTACGTGGCCATGATGATAGCGCGGGAGTAGGGCACGGGGAAGCAGAACTTGTTGACGGCGATGGTGAGATCCGAGACCATGAAGAGCACGGCCCCCAGGCAGGCCGACATCTTGGTCCACGTCCACAAGTCGTTGGTGAGCTGCAGGCCGGCCACCGCTCTCCACGCCATGAACCCGATCAGAGCGATGTAGACGGCGACGAGATAGGTGAAGGGGCCGGAGAGGTAGGGGTAGAGCAGGGAGTAGCACAGAGCGGACACCAGAGAGATGACCAGGCCTGCGCGCACGTTAGTGGGCTTCATCCCGAAGGCGGAGGAGTACAGGATGTGGGTGATGGCGAACATGAGGAGACCTGGAAACAAGTGCATCGTGTGAAAATAATACGTGGAATATGTCAGAGCTCCATGAAATTTTTTTTTTTTTTTATTAGCTATTTTATGGAGTTTAAAGAAATGTTGCATGTGCATGTTTTAAATATATACGTATATTTTTAGATAGTAATTTCATGGATTTGATTTATTTATTGACTTATTTTTCATGTTATGTTAACATTAATAAATACAAGGGATTAGTGCTGCAGGATTTTAAAGAAATGTCCTTTTTTATTAACTTATGTAGTGATTTCTTAATCTGTTTTTCCCCCCATAATATAAGATAGAAGAAGATTTGAAAATAATTTAGTCTAATAATTGCAGCATTAGTGAATTGCAAATTGCACAAATTGAACAATTCTCTTAAAACCATTTTAAGATGAGTACAGTGGTGATTGTTAATGATGATTATTAGTGTCCAAGCTTTTCTAAGTATTCTGACCAAGTGGTCATATAGGTCTATGGGTCCTTATAGTCATTTAAGGCAGGGGTTCTCAAACTTTTTGGACTCAGGGACCCCTTTTAGATGAGCAAAATTTTCAAGGACCCCCTAACGCATTTTTTGAGGAAAGCAAAAAGTAAATAAATTTAAATCAGACGAAAGTGCAATTTTTATTCAAATATTTGAACACCAAGTACATTTGCTTCTTTTCAGCTATGCTAAAGTTTCCACAACAAGAAAATTAAACATTGCATGCCTCTTCAAAACAGACAAACTGGGTCAACTACCCCCAAAAAAGACTGCTGCCAACTGAATATTTTGTCAACAACAACAAAAACAACATCAGTAAAAGGTGCTATGTTGCAACATTGCCTCCACACCTCAAACATTTCTCTGACTCGAACAAGTCCAATATTATCAAAAAACGAATAAAATCAATGAGATGGATGTGCCTGCTTCTGACTACACAGTCTCCTTATTCTTGGAGCAATGGAAGACAGACAAACTCTCAGATCGTCTTCTACATGCAAACGTGCCCTGTATTTATTTTTCATTGCAGTCAAAGTGGAAAAGGAGGACTCGCATAGGTACGTGGTTGGGAAGGGGAGCAATATTTGTAAAGCTTTAGTTGTCAGTTCTGGATAGTCTTGTTTGAGAGACAGCCAAAAGTTAACAGTACTGACCTGTAGGAATCTGGCTCTCAGTGTCCTGTCACATGATACTTCCAGCAGTTGCTCTTCTGCCTCACCTGTGAGGCTATTGGGTGATCCAGGTGCAAAGGGGTCGCGCACCCAGTCCCAGGCATCAGTGTTCACTTCAGAAAAGTAGAAGCGGAAGTGCTGGCACAGTGACGTTAAATGTGAAGTAGCGACAGCCTGTACAACATTCACAGACAGTTTCTCAGCATGAAGAAAGTCACTCAGTTGGGGAAACATGTCCGTTATTCCGTCTTGTATCCTCCGTGCCCAGAGGTCCGTTTTCTTCATGAAGGCTGAGATTTTGTCACTAACCTGAAGTATTGATGTATGCGCTCCTTGGATGGAGAGATTCAGGCCATTCAATGTATTAAAAATATCCGAAAGATATGCCAATTTACATACACTCTCTGGATTAGTGAAAATCTCTGCGAGGTCGGGTTTTTGCTCTCTTAAAAACTCTCCCATTTCTTTGCGCAACTCAAAGACCCGCTGCAAAACTTTACCACGAGAGAGCCAGCGCACCTCCGAGTGATAAAGCAGCGCGTCATGCTCAGCATCCATGTCCCGGCAAAGTTGTCCAAACAAACGGGACTGCAGCGCTCTTGACTTCACAAAGTTTACAGCAGAAACAGCAGTATTTAAAACAGAGTGGAGATCCGGGTCCATGTCTTTTGCTGCCAAGGCCTGTCGATGTAACATGCAGTGCGTCGCTATGATGTTTGGGTTGACGGACTTAACGCGCGCAACAAGTCCACTTTTCCGCCCTGTCATAGCGGCTGCACCATCCGTGCAAACAGCCACACACCTGTCCCAGCTCAGACTCGCATCTGTCATGAAAGCGTCTACAAGTCTGAATACCTCCTCGCCCGTTGTTCTCCCAGGTAGCTCTTTGCAAAACAAGAAATCCTCCACAATATCATCTTCCCATGGATATCGCACCAACACAATTAACTGAGCGGCATTAGCTATATCCGTAGATTCGTCCAGCTGAATTGAAAACTGCTCACATGAACGCAGTCTGTCCAGCAGCTGTGCTTCGATGTCTGCAGCCAGCTCCTGTATTCGCCTTCTAGTTCGGTAAAGTCAGCTTGATATTCACAGATTCGGACTTCCGCCATGAATATCTCACGAAAGCAACGTTGTTAAACGAAAGTAATGGTGCCAAAATGATCACCTCTACATGGGCTAACTACTACAACATCGATTTTTCAAATCCAATGCGCTGTTTTAATGCGGAGAAATCCATTGAATCCAATGCGCCGCAAGTGCCGAGAAAAGCACTTAGGGAGCGTCAACAAATGCCAATACCAGCTGTGTAAACGAACAATAGTTTTTATTTTAAGCCAAGTACACGCACTAAACTCTCAAATACTATAAATAGCTACCATATCTAACTACTACAACCTTTGTTTTCAGCATTTGTTTCTTTTTTGTATTTTTTATGAATAAATAGGATTTAATATGAATATGAATTTTGAATAACTTTTTTTCAAGAGGGGCGTGGTCACCAAATTCTCAGGTATGATCAATAACTGCCATATCTAACTACTACAACTTTTGTTTTTAGCAGAAATATCTTTTTTATATTTTTATGATTAAATATGATGAAATATGACTACAAATCTTGAATAACTTTTTTTCAAAAAGGGGCGTGGTCACCAAATTCTCAGGTATAACCAATAACTGCCATATCTAACTACTACAACTTTTGTTTTCAGAAGAAATATCTTTTTTATATTTTTTATGATTAAATATGAATATGATTTTTGAATAACTTTTTTCAAAAGGGCGTGGTCACCAAATTCTCAGGTATCATCAATAACTGCCATATCTAACTACTACAACTTTTGTTTTCAGCAGAAATATCTTTTTTATATTTTTATGATTAAATATGATGAAAATATGCAAGCTACAAATCATTGAATAACTTTTTTTCAAAAAGGGGCGTGGTCACCAAATTCTCAGGTATCATCAATAACTGCCATATCTAACTACTACAACTTTTGTTTTCAGCAGAAATATCTTTTTTATTTTTTTTATGATAAAAATATGTTAAATATGATCAATAACCAATTCTTGAATAACTTTTTTTCAAAAAGGGGCGTGGTCACCAAATTCTCAGGTATCATCAATAACTGCCATATCTAACTACTACAACTTTTGTTTTCAGAAGAAATATCTTTTTTTATATTTTTTATGATTAAATATGATTTTGAATAACTTTTTTCAATATGGAGGTATACATAACTGCCATATCTAACTACTTGAACTTTTGTTTCAGAGAAATTCTTTTTATATTTTTTTCAAATATATGAATATGATTTTGAATAACTTTTTTCAAAAAGGGGCGTGGTCACCAAATTCTCAGGTATCATCAATAACTGCCATATCTAACTACTACAACTTTTGTTTTCAGCAGAAATATCTTTTTTATATTTTTATGATTTTATGATGAATATGATTGAATAACTTTTTTTCAAAAGGGGCGTGGTCACCAAATCAGGAAATAATGACTACAACTTTTGTTTTCAGAGAAAATCTTTTTATATTTTTATGATTAAATTGAATAACTTTTTTTCAAAAAGGGGCGTGGTCACCAAATTCTCAGGTATCATCAATAACTGCCATATCTAACTACTACAACTTTTGTTTTCAGAAGAAATATCTTTTTTATATTTTTTATGATTAAATATGATGAAATACTACTACAATCTTGAATAACTTTTTTTCAAAAAGGGGCGTGGTCACCAAATTCTCAGGTATCATCAATAACTGCCATATCTAACTACTACAACTTTTGTTTTTTCAGAAGAAATATCACAATTCCGTATATCAAAACTGCATACTAACTACTACAATTTTTTTCAGAAAAATATTTTTTTATGATTAAATATGACTACAAATCTTGAATAACTTTTTTTCAAAAAGGGGCGTGGTCACCAAATTCTCAGGTATAACCAATAATTAAAATATCTCATGGGTTTGTCAGTGGTGTTGAAGCTGATTCCACAAAGGTGGATGTGGTCCAGTTCCACTGCTACGGAGATAAAATAATGTTCTATTGTAACAGGAATTACATTTCATTATTTTATGAGTAATATGCAAATACACATAGTATATACAATTATCAAATATCACATACCATTGTGCAATGGACACAACACTGCTCTCTTATCACATTCTGAAGAATTTGGTGACCACGCCCCCTTTTTAGAACAAAAGCTATTGAAGATTGATAATTAATCATAAAAATGTAACAAAGAGATAAATGCTGCAAACAAAGGTTGCAGTACTTAGATATGTTAATTATTGATTATAACTGAGATTTTGGTGACCACGCCCCTTTTAGAACAAAATTTATTGAAGATTGTGACACTTGTCATGTCAGGATGGCACTTATGAAGATGTTGGAGGAACAAAGTGCACACCCAGGGTGCAGGTTTATTTACATTGGACAGCATGTCATGCAACACTCTCTCTGTTCAGAGTTGGTGGCCTGCTTTTATAGCATATGACAGTAATTAAGCAATACTAACTGCAGCCCTACAGCAATAATTAAAGTAGTGCTTTTACACTCTTTTTATTATTATTATTTAAATTTACAAATGATTTATTTATTCTAAAACTATACTAAACTGGAAAGATAAAACCCAGGAAACCCCTCCACCCTCTCTGCAGAGTGGATGAACCCGGAATCCTCTTTAGGTGCTCCGCTCCTCAGGACTTATTTGGCCGGAACGCCTAAAGAGGGCAGACAAGGGATCTTAAAAGATAAGTATATTTAAATGTTGTACATTTATTCATTTTCCTTAACTCATCTCTTTTCCTTTACAGGTCCGCACCTTCACATACAAATCAATCTTTAATAAATGTTTTAAAAATTAAGTCTGTCTAATTCATACTCCTGTTAACCCTCGTAAAGGACTCTTAAAAAAGCCATTGAAAAAAGGTATTTCTGCTAAAAACAAGGTTGTAGTAGTTAGATATTGTAGTTATTGATCATAAGAATTTGGTGACCACGCCCCTTTTAGTAAAAAAAAAGATTTGTATCATATTTCATCACAAAGAATATGAAAAATACAAAAAACAAAGGTTGTAGTAGTTAGATATGGCAGTTATTGATCATTACCTGAGAATTTGGTGACCACGCCCCTTTTTGAAAAAAAGTTATTCAAGATTTGTAGTCATATTTCATCATATTTAATCATAAAAATATAAAAAAGATATTTCTGCTGAAAACAAAAGTTGTAGTAGTTAGATATGGCAGTTATTGATGATACCTGAGAATTTGGTGACCACGCCCCTTTTTGAAAAAAAGTTATTCAAAAATCATATTCATATTTAATCATAAAAAATATAAAAAAGATATTTCTTCTGAAAACAAAAGTTGTAGTAGTTAGATATGGCAGTTATTGGTTATACCTGAGAATTTGGTGACCACGCCCCTTTTTGAAAAAAAGTTATTCAAGATTTGTAGTCATATTTCATCATATTTAATCATAAAAATATAAAAAAGATATTTCTGCTGAAAACAAAAGTTGTAGTAGTTAGATATGGCAGTTATTGATGATACCTGAGAATTTGGTGACCACGCCCCTTTTTGAAAAAAAGTTATTCAAAAATCATATTCATATTTAATCATAAAAAATATAAAAAAGATATTTCTGCTGAAAACAAAAGTTGTAGTAGTTAGATATTGTAGTTATTGATCATACCTGAGAATTTGGTGACCACGCCCCTTTTAGAAAAAAAGTTATTCAAGATTTGTAGTCATATTTCATCATAAAAAATATAAAAAAAGAGGCAAATGCTGAAAACAAAGGTTGTACAAGTTAGAAGTGTTAGTTATTTATTGTGTCCTAGAGTTCTGTGCGTGTACATGGCTTCAAGTAACAGCTATTGTTCGTTTACAAAGCTGGTATTGATACTTGTTGACGCTCCCTATGCGCTTTTCTCGGCACTTGGATTGAATGGATTTCTCCGCATTAAAACAGCGCATTGGATTTGAAAAATCGATGTTGTAGTAGTTAGCCTAAGTAGAGGTGATCATTTTGGCACCATTACTTTCGTTTAACAACGTTGCTTTCGTGAGATATTCATGGCGGAAGTCCGAATCTGTGAATATCAAGCTGACTTTACCGAACTTCGCCTTCTTACGGTGTCATTTGAAAGTGGAATCACTTTTAGCTTATTTGCAGCCTCTGCGCCAAGTATGACTTCACACATGTCCACTGCGGCTGGGAGTAAAAGTTGTTGTCCAATGGTGTGAGGCTTCTTACATTTAGCAATGCGTTGAGCCACCAGATAAGAGGCCATCTGCGCTTTTTCTGAAACTGAAGTTAACTCCACCATTCGTTTTTTTCTGGTGTCCATATTCTTCTGCTTTGCGTTTGAAAAAGTCCTTAGATTTGTTTTTAAACTCCGGGTGCTTTGTGATGAGGTGTCGCTTTAGCTTCGCAGGCTTCATCGCCTCATTAGCAAGCACTTGCAGACACAAAGCGCATTTTGGTCGTCCATCCTTGTTTTCAATAAATCCGAATTGGATGTAGTCCTCACTGTATTTTCTTTGTTTAACTTTAGACAATTTACTTTTTTCCTTTTCCCCATTAGATGAAGTTGACGGTGTTAAAAACGCATCCATGGCTGAGTAGCTAGGCAGAACCTGCGCGCGTCAAAGCTCGTCACTGATAAGTGGACGTGATTTACGTGGATCTATTTTTTATTTATTTATATTTCATATAAAAATAGCAGATTAAACTTAGTGTCGATTTGTGAATATTCACACGGTTATATAAAATCGTGTAAATATTAATAATAATTAATATAAAATAAAATAATATAAAATATAGTTTTCTTATTAATAGCCAACCCTTTTCACGGACCCCCTGATATCGGGCCACGGACCCCTGGGGGTCCGAGGACCCCACTTAGAGAACCACTGATTTAAGGTATGTTAATTATAAAAGCCTCTTTTAATGAGTAAAAGGCCACGGACATATTCTGCATTGGAATCATTATTACAAACCATGCATTCTCATGTCCAGTCTATGAAACTGCATTCTTGTCCTTTAACACAATTCACACCATTTACCTTGACGACCTTTTAGTTTGTATGATAAACATGAATATTTCTTTAACAAGTTGGCTTTAATGATGAATGTATTCTGTACTGTGTGTGTGCTGTTTCATTGATTGGGGACAAATCATTGAAACTGCTTTGACAAACATTTCTAAGGGAATAAACAGAGAACAGAAAATCTGCAGACCATAAATGGAAGACTGTAAAACACAACCACATCCTGCTAGTTTCAAAATGTTTTGGCCATATTTCTGAGAATGTTTCCTCACTCATTGTTACCAGTTGTGTGTCAAATGCTCATATTTTCTATTTTCTAATTATAATGACAACAGAAATTTCTCAAAAGACCATGATTAATTTCCCTCACCCAGGTTTCAATAGTTTGCATTTCCCGGTTTAACGTTTACAACAGCTTTTGTCGTAGTTTATGTGGATGTGAAAGCCAGATCCTGTCAGACCTCTGTGGCTAATCAAGGCAGAGCCTGGTCGGTACTGTGATGGGAGACCTTTGGGAACACCAGGTGCTACTGTGGGGCGGCTGTAAAGTGCAAAATGCTGTTGTGTCCTTAGGCAAGACACTTCACCCACATTGTCTAGATGCATCTGGTGTATGTGTGAATGGAGGTCGGAGGGGTCAATGGCATACTGGTTGCCTCACTTCTGTCAGTGTGCCCCCAGGGCAGCCGTGGCTACAGTAATAGTAGTTGTTGAGTGTCCAAAAAAGCAGATAAAACCTATGCATTATTACTATTAATTGTGGATATGGTTTTTCATCTACTCTATTGGTATAGCTGCCCATTTTTCTTGGCAAAAATATATTCCTGGTCCGACCTTGCATGTACAGCACATTTGAGATCTCAAAATATCAATTCACTGATGTTATAACTTGAAAGTAGCAAACGTTTATTTGACAATGTGGCTTCATGGGCTAACAATGAGAAATCAGTGATTGTATCATCTTTGAATGTTATCATGAAATCTCTAGCTGGGTGTGGAAACTTACACACTCCAAGTTGCTTATAGAGTGAATATGGCATATTTTGAATGCCACAAAAGTCAAAGTAGGAAACCCATGACTAAAAGATTGCCTTTGATAAAATAACTGATGTTAAGATGAGTCTCACCATGTACAAAGTATCCCTGCTCCTGCCAGATGAGAAACGCGTCGCCCAGAGCTGAGAATATGAGCCCGGCCAATATTTTACGTGCACTGGAGTGTTCCCCCAGGAAGCTGACGCCATGAGCCAGCAGGAACATCCAGAGGCAGAAGATGGGGAGGCATTTGATCAGCGCACTAAACCAAGAGGGACTGGAGGTGGGCAGCCAAAGCACAAAGTAGACACATGTCGCTTTGAAGAACGGCACCAGCTTCGGGCCTTCGCTCTTGACCTGAAAAACACAAGTTCCATCAGTGTAGATTTTGGGCCAGTTGCGACAAATTCGCCAACAATAAAAGTGGTTTCTGGACAGACACCGAGGCTGAAACACTGCACTCAAGTGAATGGGTTTAAAAAATCACTGGTGACAGAATTGTTAAAAGTACTTTAGAACAATTCGAGGAGTTATGTTTTGAAAAATGTAGTTTTGGAGATGAAAAAGTTAAGGTTGATTCTATTGTCTAAACTAAAATAATTATTCTCAGATATGCATTTAGCTGTTGAACCCTCTTCATCTTTTACAAAGAAAACCGCTAACATCTCTCTTGAATGGGACAGTGTGTATTAATAACCAGCTTCTGCTGTAAATACACCATAGCCCAAGGCAGGTCCTCATCCACAGTCTCGCATTGTACATGTTTGTGTTAGCGGAAACTGGAGCACTGTAGGAAACATACGCAAGACACAGGGAGAACATGCAAATGCTTGGAAGAATTGCAAATACCAAAAATATATAGTTTTATACACAATCTATGGAACAATTTGTCACTATAGTAATTAATCTGACAGGAATAGTAATCACAAAATATTCATCTTTACATACTTTGTGGTGATACTTTTGACTTAAATAAAAATCCAGATTTTATTTCACAATACACGATATGCCACAACATTGTGTGAATATTTATTAATGAGAGAATATTAAGATATCCCTTTACAATGTGTCGATATTGCTATTTGTTACTTATTTTTCATTGAGTGAATGATCAACATGTATATAACCTCTGAGGTTTAGCCATTCAGATCAGGAGATGTTCAGGATTTAACTGAAGCAGCTGTGAAACAGCAGTGTAGTATGTAACTCATGACAATGACAAAGGCTAAAATACCCAATTACAACATTACTCGAAAAACAAGTATTTCGTTACTTTCCACAACTGGACCCAAACAGTTTAAGATCCCAATCCCACTTTGACTTTGAGCAAAAAGGGGAACGGTTCAGCTAAAATGACCTCCTTCCCGGAGCTGTTCTTTGTGGTCACTAATTTGCACGGCTAAGTCTGCAGCACATGATTTGATACGAGGGAAGAGAACTGAAAGAGCATAAGTAAGCCTCCAGAGCAAGTGACTTTTAATAAACTCTAGCAAGTTCACAGCAGCTCAGATCACGTGTCTGTCTGCCCACAAAGGATTTATCCATATTGTCTTGCTGCGTAAATAGATCATCACAGTAAGGGGGATACAATTCAACAAAAAGGACTTCTTGCGACACCTTAGAAGCGACCACCCACGTACATTTCTCAGAATTCGGATTCTTGAAGCTGAAAACCCGAGAGGATCGTGAGGGAGAAGAATTCAAATGTTGTTAGGGAGCTGAAGCCAACGAGGGTTCAGTGGAGTTAAGATGCCTGAGGCTTGAAAAGCAAGATGGGGTTTTTATAGATAGAATAACAGGGGTCAAACATTTATCTTTCTGCCATTAAAAAAAACATCTTGTGAAAGGGGAGTTTGGGGCTAAACGACGGCTGGAAGCACGGATTGTGAAAGCGTTTGCAAGTAGAGCAGAAGAAATGCGGGAAACGGCAGTAGTGAAATTGCACTGACTTTATAGCGGGAGGGGGGGTGAGGAGGGTGAGGAGTGCAGGCATTGGTGACAGCTGGATTTAGGAGGGCATAAGTAAGAGGGCAATGGAAAGTTAAGAGGTGAGAAAAAAAAAATGTTGAAGGTTATTTCAGGTTATTCTCTGCGATCACGGACATGGGTGGGGGTGTTGCACCACTCCAATAACGTAGAAAGTAAATGAGTAAGTAATCTTTATTTATATAGCGCCTTTCACAGACCGCAATCTCAAAACGCTTTACAATTTTTTATTAGGTATTTTTCCTCTCACTCCACACAGAGATGGGAGCGGGGTCGCCAGTACAGGAGGCACATGCCAGACCTATTGTACAGGTTTTTAGTGGTAGGGGAAACCGGAGCACCTGGAGAAAACCGGAGCACCTGGAGAATACCGCAGCACCTGGAAGAAACCAACGCAGACATGGGGAGAACATGCAAACTCCACACAGAAAGGCCTGAAGGTGGAATTGACCACTGCGCCACTGTGCCGCCCCAACATCACAGTGCAATAATTACAAAAATATATCCCAAATATGCATAATCACAATTTTTAATAATGATTTAATAATAGTTTTATTTCTACTTTTGGCTTAAAATTATATCATCAAGTATTAAATATTTCTATGAGGATAAAAGATATTAAAATGTACTCGGCCTGTTACAATCATGTCTTTAATGTTCAATAACGTATGACTGTACAATACATTTTGGGATTCATATTCTTTAAATCGTCAATATACTATTGTTTAATATGATCAAATGTGAGCTGTACATGATCAAATAATTCTATTGTTTTGATATTTTTTTCAACTGCATTTTTGTGCAGAATTAGATGTTCTTTATGCATATAGGTTTCCTCCAATTGTGTGGTAGTTTTTCCTACCACTAAAATCATACAATAGGAATGGTTCAAGGCTGGAGGTGAAGGAGGCGAATGGAAAACCCTAACCCTCCACCAAAATGATAAAAAAACGTGTGTGACCTTTTTCAGTGAAATGAATATAGATAAAGGACATACTTCTGGTGTTTAGTTTGTGTCAATTGATGACGACAAAAGCAATTTGTGACTTCCTGTTACTTATGGCAATAAAAATAATTCTGATTCTGATTTTGATTCTCTGTCTCAATGTGTCGCAAAGCCAAGGTAGGACAAAGATAATCCACTCCACCTTTTATAGCAGAGGATTCTATAAGTACAGTCTATGAGAGAAATCCATCGGCTGTCGTGAATAAAGCAATAATAATATCATAAACATAGCAATGTAGAATGATAATTAGCTATATTAGCTTTGACATAGAACAGCGTTGTTGACATAACTGGGAGGAAGACGATGGTTCAAACACTCTTTATTGAGTTATTTATCAATGCTGACAAAAGCTTGTCACACCTACAAGACTTGGCTCGCAGCACTAAATTTGGCTGACACAAATTGTAACTTAAGCAGATGCAGTCCCTGGCATGAGTCATATAACAATGACTGTGATGTAGTCCCACGGCCTTAAGCAGGACCAGTGTGGCATTCACTGTGGTATATAACACACATTATTCAGTTATTTAGTTTAATTCATAATCAGAATAAAAAGGATTCTGGTTATGCATTTAACATCTGAAAAGTTAATTTACTAAAACAGATCAATCCATTATGAAAATGTGACAAAATGTTGTAATCCTCTAGTTACAATCGTATATATACATTATTTTTAGTTGAGTGAAACATCATTTTGAATGAACAAAAATTAATCTGGCTTTTCAAAAAACTGCTTGGTATAGGACAGAATGTAATATATTTATTTATCGTTTATTTGATTGGGCCAGTACATGTTAATGAACACATCACTCCGGGTTGTAGCCATGGGCTAATTTGCATCCGTTGTCCCACATTCGCACTCACAAACACACACTCTTTCACCCTAAACTATTGCACATGTTTTTAGTGGTAGGGGAAACCGGAATGCCCGAAGGAAATCTATGCAGACACGGGCAGAACATGCAATCTCCATTTGGCCCTGTTCCGACCAGGATTTGAACATAGAACCTTCTTGCTGAGAAGCGAGAATGCCATCCACTCAGCCACCGAGCCGCCCAATCCTAATCCTTTAATATTTTTATTTTTATAATGGTACTGCTTTTGCAAAGGAAAGTTAATATTCTGAGCTTTTATACATATTACGTTAATTGCAATAATGTGAAATCTTGACTCAGAATGTATAGTTTATTTGTATAAAACCAGTATAATAAGTAATAGTATCATAGTATATGTATATGCCATTACATTGTTTTGCATTTATTTACATGAAGACTCAAGCACTCAAAAACAACACACACAGACAGAACATATAACAGAACATAACAGAACAGAGGTAGCCCCACATTTTAATGGCAGCTCTGTGAGGGGAAAGAACTTGCTTTAATTATTACCCCAGCTGTCGAGTTTAGTTGGCACAAGTCTGACTCTTTCCTGCTGCTGTTTATTACACAGTGGTATTGAAAGGAACCATTCAATGTAAAACACATCAGAGAAAGAGAATAGATGAAAGGAGAAAGCCACAATAGTGTGATCTGCGCATGCGGTGGGCACAGGAGAAAGAAACGAGACAAAAAGCTCGTCACATGACAGGCTTCCTATTTTCCAAGAGACTGCTTTTGGAAACATGTGGAAAGTATTTTTAAACAACAGTGAAAACAAAAGCTGACAAGTACTGACCAATCACAATCATGCAACTTCCTGTTTTTTATACACACTCTCACAACAACTGGATCACAGCAGGATTTATGCCTACATTTTAATCACACTAATTCTATGAGATTACTCCCAAACACATAAGTTACAGGAAAATACATATGCGTGGCTCTTTGCAATAGCCATAATAGCATAACCCCCTTGGCTAACAATGCAAAAGGGAAGCTCTTGCGAAAGTTATTAGCTTTCTATGTGCAGGATCTGTCTATGTTATACTATGTGTCGTGGAGAAACGCGTCGCTTACCACGGTGACTGGAGATACCATTGTCTTAGCGCGATGGGCAGGCTGGTAAAAAGCACCAAAACGCGCTCAAGTTTGCCCCTTGTGTGGATATTGGCGCAGAAAGGATGCGGATTGTTTTGTCCTCTCGGTGGAGGCGGTCCCAGGGCCAGTGGGCGGGACGGTCTGTGCTCCGGACGTGGGCACTGGTCCGGGCTTCGGGAGAAGGTGGAAACATAGGCGGAACCAGGCAGCAGTGACGCCCAGAGAGGAGGGTCGTCTGGTGTTTACGTTTCAAAAGCAGATGGCATGTAAAAAGAAAAAAAGAAAACATTTTGATTATGGAAAACGTATGTTACGAATACTGAAGACATAATAATGTTCATGATGATAATAATATTAATAATGATAACAAACAAAGTAGTAATAATAACAGTAATAATCGTCATCATCAGCACAATAATAATAAAGACAAAGGCAAGTTTATTGTATTATAAGTGCTTGACAAAAAAGATTAGAAACGATCACATAAGGCGTTAAGATAATTATGTTTTACAGTGCATTAAAAGAGTGAAGATGCAACCCTATGCACAGCTAAACAGATCTGTTTTTAAACTTGGATTTGAACATCATCAGAGTAGAAGCATGTCACACATTGTGAGGAAGACTGTTCCAGATTTTTGCTGCATACATCTGCATACATACTGCCTCCCCATGTTTAGTCCATAGACTGTATATATTAAAGGGACATATTTAGTGGTTTTCCCTACACTCAAAGATCCAATTATTTGCAATTATTGTCCCACTTTGACAAAAATGTCAAGTGATCCCACTCAGTGAGTTGCATGGAAGTGGGCCCTTGAAACACATTTTTCCCTGAAAAAAATCAACTAGCTCTGGCCGCCGTTGAAATATGTTACATTTAATGACATTCATTTTTTAACACATCACACATTTGAAATGCATTAAAAAAGGTATACTATATAAGTTGTCTGGCGGTTTCATGTCTCAAAACGTTAGACAGTATAACACAGTATTCCAATGATGTTTGCTCTATTTATTACACCATTTGTTTGTTCTATTACACCATTACTTTATTTTCCTTTGGACACTGTTGATTCTATGTGTTCAAACATTCTAGGTAAACATATCCAAATAGAATGCTTCCACTAAAAATGACAGCTCAAATCATGTAATCTTCGTAAAAGCTATGTGAGGAATTACAAAGTCCGCCAGACAAGCGCTCAAAAGACGTCGAAAATTCTAGACAAACTGGATTAGGTAATTTCAGTAAAACAGCGACACCGTATGGAGGGCTTCAATATGGATCACATGAATAAATCATGATTATGCGCCAATTAATACGTATAAATAATATTTACTGGACCACAATAAATTATGTGTGGTCACTTAATAAATACATCTTTTGCACAACATCTGTTTTTATTCCTTTTTTTTTGTTATTTTAATTTCTTGGGCAAAAGCGGAAGTCGGGTTGAATCCCCTCACTTCCGGTGTTGGCTTTTCGATCCCAATTTCTTCTCCCATAGTGTAAATAGTGGGTTTAAATGTCTTCGTATAGCTTTTTCTATTTAAGAGCGCACTTGAACGTGTTTTGATGGTGGATCTTTCAGTTTTGGGGGCGTCTTCGTCGTCTCCTCTTTTTCTTCACGGCTGGTTTTGACTGAAGCTAACAATGCTAACCACGAAAAGCGACAGATGTAGAGTAGCGTCATCTCTCATATAAAACAGATTTTTTTCTTCTTTTCGGGGCTTTACAAGCTGGGGACAGACGTGGCATTTGACGTATAGTTCAAAGAGCCTGTCATTTTTGATCACTGCCCAATTGGGTTAATTTACAGAAATTTATAAATAGTAGTAGCCCACCAGGCGATAAATCTGCTGCAAAATGATGGACTTTGACAATGTTTTATCTCTTGCGACCCAGAACCGTGGTGACAGTAGTGTACAGGTAAGGGGAACATTCAGTGTTATGTGTATTAAATTGGTGATGTGTCACGTGTTGTGTGTTGTACATTTAAAGAGTTACTAAAATGCCCTAATCCAACAAGCTATATTTGGACCTTAGTAGCTAGCACATGTGTTTCGTTTCAACCATACAATTTATCAGTAATGAAAAACACTGCTTTGATTATATTTCTTCTTCTTCATTAACACATGTTGTTCTCGCTTTTTTCTTTTTTCCCACTACAGAAAAGATATAGTTTACAAACCGGGCCTCCTAAGAAAGATCCAAAGTCTAAAGGTGTAAGTTCTGCTGCCATACAAGCCCTTCTGAAAAAGAAACAAATTGAGAATAAAATGAAAGGTAAGAATATTTCATATAATGCTTTTATTATAACAGTATGTATGTCTAACCCTTTCCACCCTGTTTGTCTTGCAGTAATAGAAAGGAAGAAACAGAAAGAAGAACTCTTGGCCAAAAGGGTTGAGAAGAAAACAGACCGCAAAGCCCGTGCTATGGCCTCCAGAACCAAGGACAATTTCCATGGATACAATGGTGTGCCGATAGTAGAACTCCCCAAAAAAAGAAGAACAAAGCAAGAAATGGAAGAATCAAGGGCAAATTCAAATACATTTAGAAACAATGTTGGGGATCCTGATAATGATGATGATGAAGACAATTATGAATATGACCCATCGGAGTCTGAAGAGGAGCAGGAGCCTAGACAAAACACTTTCAATAATGGCAGTTTTAAGATCCCCATCAAGCAAAACACGGCGCCAAAATCGGCCGCTCCATTTAACTTTGCAGCCTTACTTAAGCTTGCAGAAAAAAAGCAACATGAGCCAGTTGAGTTGAAGCCCAAGATTGTTAAAAAAGAGGGGAGGCTTCGCACGGCTGACGAAATAAGAGAGTTGGAACTTGAGAGAAAAGCAAAAAAATTAGACGTGAAAGGTGAGAGGTCTTCGAAAGATCACTCAAGTTCAAATTCCTCTAAAACCACTCTTGAAAAAAATAATAGATTACAGAAGTCAAAACCATCTGGACCTGTGGATAAGCAAATGCAAAGGCCAGAAAAAAATAATCCTTCTTTTAAATCGAGTGTCAATGACCGAGATAAACTCAACTCGTCACATAAAGAAAAAGTCAGGGTCAAACAACATTCTTCCAGTTCAACCAGCTATGACTCGTCGAGACCTACACATTCTCAAGTTTCATCAAAACAAATGGGGACCAAATCTTCATCTAACCACAAAACATCAGCCTCAAATGATCTTGGTTCTAAAAAAGATAACTCTTTGCCTCTTAAAAGAAAATCAGTTGAGCCTCCTGACAGCCGGGCTTCCAGTTCAACCTCAATAAGCCACAAAAATCAGTTGGAGAAAAGGGAATCACAAAGGCCAGGGATGAATGTCAACATAAAATCAAATGTTTTATCCAAACCCGGAACGAGCAGCTCCACTAAACCAGGTCATCCACAACCCAGACCAGGAGGCCCACCACCCCAACCAAAATCGGGTGTTAGGCCTGGAGCCAGTGGAGTCAGGGCTCCGAGTGTTGGACAAAGCCGACCTAGTAATGGAGGACCTGCCCCTGGAAGAGCAGCTGACAGTGGTGGGGCAGGAACACCCAAATGTACTGTTGTATCTGAAACCATTTCATCCAAGAATATGGTCGGATCGAAAGCAGGCGTTCCTCCAAGACCGGGCATGCCGTCGCAGCAGAGGCCGGGAATATTGCAGCAGCAGAGGCCGGGAATGTCTCAACAGAGACCCGGAATGTCTCAACAGAGGCCTGGGATGTCGCAGCAGCAGCAGAGACCCGGGATGGCGCAGCAGAGGCCGGGAATGTCGCAGCAGCAGAGGCCGGGAATGTCGCAGCAGCAGAGACCCGGAATGTCGCAGCAGCAGAGACCCGGAATGTCGCAGCAGCAGAGACCCGGAATGTCGCAGCAGCAGAGACCCGGAATGTCGCAGCAGCAGAGACCCGGAATGTCGCAGCAGCAGAGACCCGGAATGTCGCAGCAGCAGAGACCCGGAATACCTCCGAGACCAATGAACAGACCCCCGGGTAATTCACCTTGTGTTTTTTTTCCAAGCCGTGATAATATTGGTTTGTTTCTCAAGCAAACAAGTATGTAATGTAATGAGAAGCTGTTAGGATTATATCTTTTATTTTTCTCTTGATTATTCAACTCATGATACAACAATTAAGTTTATATGAGGTTAAAAAGTGTTTTCTGTGAGAATTCCTACACCCTCACCTATATGAGATTGGGGTTAAGATTGTGGATACAAGAGAGTCCAAATGACTATCCTCTGCAGAATAGCTGGGTGCACCCTTGGAGATACAGTGCCTTGCGAAAGTATTCGGCCCCTTGAACCTTTCAACATTTCGCCACATTTCATACATAAAGATAAAGATGTAAAAATGTATTCTTTTTGTCAAGAATCAACAAGTGGGACATAATCGTGAAGTGGAACAACATTTATTGGATAATTTAAACTTTAACAAATAAACTGAAAAGTGGGGCGTGCAATATTATTCGGCCCCCTTGCGCTAATACTTTGTAGCGCCACCTTTTGCTGCAATTACAGCTGCAAGTCGCTTGGGGTATGTCTCTATCTTTTTTAGATAGATCCTTGCAAAACAGCTCGAGCTCAGTGAGGTTGGATGGAGAGTGTTTGAACAGCAGTCTTCAGCTCTTTCCACAGATTCTCGATTGGATTCAGGTCTAGACTTTGACTTGGCCATTCTAACACCTGGATACGTCTATTTGTGAACCATTCCATTGTAGATTTGGCTTTATGTTTTGGATCATTGTCCTGTTGTAAGATAAATCTCCGTCCCAGTCTCAGGTCTTTTGCAGACTCCAACAGGTTTTCTTCCAGAATGGTCCTGTATTTGGCTCCATCCATCTTCCCATCAATTTTAGCCATCTTCCCTGTCCCTGCTGAAAAAAAGCAGGCCCAAAGCATGATGCTGCCACCACCATGTTTGACAGTGGGGATGGTGTGTTCAGGGTGATGAGCTGTGTTGCTTTTACGTCAAACATATCGTTTTGCATTGTGGCCAAAAAGTTCGATTTTGGTTTCATCTGACCAGAGCACCTTCTTCCACATGTTTAGTGTGTCTCCCAGGTGGCTTGTGGCAAACTTTAAACGAGACTTTTTATGGATATCTTTGAGAAAAGGCTTTCTTCTTGCCACTCTTCCATAAAGGCCAGATTTGTGCAGTGCACGACTGATTGTTGTCCTATGGACAGACTCTCCCACCTCAGCTGTAGTTATCTGCAGTTCATCCAGAGTGATCATGGGCCTCTTGGCTGCATCTCTGATCAGACGGCCGGGTCTTGGTAGATTTGCAGTGGTCTGATACTCCTTCCATTTCAATATAATTGCTTGCACAGTGCTCCTTGAGATGTTTAAAGCTTGGGAAATCTTTTTGTATCCAAATCCGGCTTTAAACTTCTCCACAACAGTATCTCGGACCTGCCTGGTGTGTTCCTTTGTCTTCATGGTTCTCTCTGGGCTTTAAACAGAACCCTGAGACTATCAAAGAGCAGGTGCATTTATATGGAGACTTGATTACACACAGGTGCATTCTATTTATCATCATCAGTCATTTAGGACAACATTGGATCATTCAAAGATCCTCACTGAACTTCTGGACTGAGTTTGCTGCACTGAAAGTAAAGGGGCCGAAAAATATTGCACGCCCCACTTTTCAGTTTATTTGTTAAAGTTTAAATTATCCAATAAATTTGGTTCCACTTCACGATTGTGTCCCACTTGTTGTTGATTCATGACAAAAAATTAAGATTTTATATCTTTATGTTTGAAGCCTGAAATGTGGCAAAATGTTGAAAGGTTCAAGGGGGCCGAATACTTTCGCAAGGAACTGTATGGTGAGGAGCTCATTTACACAGGAGGGAGTTCTGTGTATAGCTGCTTCTCCTCCACGTTGAGAGGAGCCAGCTGAGATGGTTTGGGAATCTGTCTTGCTTGACCGTGCATGTCACCCTGGAGGTGGATTTTACAGGGGGCAGTCTGTGCCTCCCTGCTCTGCCTCTGTGACCCTGGCGCTAATAAAGTAGAATAAAATGGATGGATATATGTACTAATTTTGTTTGTTTATTCAGGCCCAATGTTGCCGCCGATTACTTCCGCATACAAGAGGAAATTTGAGGATGAAGAAGATGAGTATGATTCTGAAATGGATGATTTTATTGATGATGGGGATGATGACCAAGAATCAATTTCTCAACACATTAAGCAAATCTTTGGTTATGATCGAAACAAGTAAGATTTAACTTATGGCATATTTGAAAGATTAAATGTTATTGTATCTAATGCGTGATTTGCTCTTGATAGATACAAAGACGAAAGTGACTATGCACTAAGATTCATGGAAAGCAGTTGGAAAGATATGCAAAAGGAGGAAGCAAGGAGGTGAGTGAGAATGTAAAACTTAAAGTGTAAACTTGCATTGTTTTTTTTAACATTAACTTTGTTGTTGTGTTCATAATAGCTTGAGAATGGCAGTACAGGAAGATCTTGAGGAGGAGAGAAAAGAGGAAGAGGAATTTAAACGACAAAATGCAAAGAAGCCAAGAAAAAAGTGACCTCGTCTTCCCATTTTACCTCCTTGGCTTCTTTCACTTCTGTGTGGACATAGACACTTTAGACAAGCATTTTAGCTGAAGATCATGTTTTTGAAAAAGGTGATGTCAGATTCTCGTATTTATTTTGTTTTCTAACAACTCATGCTGAGAGAACATTCTTTACACTCATGTACAGATTAATATAAAAATGTTTTTTTTTTCTTTTAATTAATGGCCTGTCTGCTGCAATTATCCTATTTTCTGTCTTAAAGTTCTTGCATATTTTACAATCATGCATTTATAAATATGCCAAGATATTACAAAAATAATTACAATATATAAAAATGGGTCTAAATTATTTATTTTCAACATGTTCACCACAGTTCTTTATACAAAATCATGACCATTACTTTACATAAAAAGATTTGACTAAGACTGGTGTGTTGGTGTTTGATCATTGATATTTCCTGTGTTTATTATATGTTTAGATTGAATCATTTTAGTTGCTTCACAGAACTAGTATGTCTGAGGAGTATATAAGAAGTCTGCGTATGCCAGTAAACCCTGTCTAGGGCTAGAGGGAGTATGGGTTCTGTTCATGGTTCTAGTTTTGAGGCAATGGTGGCCATCTTGTTCAAAAATTTAAGTTTTAAATTTATAATTGGGTAAAACTATATATGGTGTCAAATATTGCTGGATAATGAGACTATTATCCTCCTTAAAGCTTTACATTTGTTTTTGGTTCTAAAATAAACTGTCTTTCAAGCTATATTATTGTTATCTCACTATATATTATGATTAATGTATCTATAGCTGTAAACCTTTAGATGGATCGAAAGATAAATAATTCATGACTTGGTATGTGGTGGCCAGAAAAGTTGGACATTTCGTACAAGATTTTTCCACATTTGTTTGGTTATTAATATGGACCCATGTGTAGAATACATTCCGCATTTGACAATACAAAGATGGCTGCTGGAAAAGGATGCGCCGTCTAGGACCATATATGGCTGTATGGGCGTGGTCTCGGCTCGTGTGCGGAAGTTTGTTTTGTGTCAGCCGAACCCAAAGCGGAGTTTCTAAAGTGCTTCACAACATCCCTGTTTTTGGCTACTAATTAAATGGACCTGAGCTCGGAGAAAATAACTCGAATTCTTTCTAAGGTTAGTTAAAAACAAACAAACTGTCAGTTCACGTTATAATTAGATTTTTAATTTATTTTGTGAGGCAAATCTATTCTACAAAGTAACTGGCTTAACCTGTTCTGTTGCTTCTATTAGCTAACTAGCAACATTGATTTTTCACATGTTTTCTCCCATACAGTTCAAATAAGGTACTATAATGAAAAACTATTTTATGTCATGTTAGTACAAGTTCCATGATGTTGCCATTGAAGAATTACAGAAAATCTATCGCATCTTCCCGGAGATAAAACCCTTCACTGGCACATACAGTAAGTGTTTGTTTATTTCACGTTTGCACATTCGAATGGTTTAAAGAACTATTTTGTTTTTAGCATTCAGTGACAGCACTCAAAGAGACCTCCTAAAACTGATTGGCAACATCCCGGTCAAATATGATGGTAGTGTCTTACTTCACTATTTTAACATTAACTGTTTTGAGTTGTTTACTAGTGACCATTTTTATTTTTACAGGGCGAACATATAACTTCCCCATTCAGCTATGGCTAATAGACTCATTCCCATTCACCCCTCCAATATGCTTCATGAGACCAACATCTAATATGATTATCCGAGAAGGAAAACATGTGGATGCCAAAGGACGTATTCATCTGCCTGGACTGCACAACTGGGATTATGTATGCTATTCAATTTACAATGCACAATTACACTTCTAGGCGTTTTCGCACTGAAGGCAACCCTCAGAACTTGTTTTAGTCCTTGTTCCTATTTTTGCGGTGTTTACTCATAACAGGGAAAAGTGCCAGACTTTCTGAACTATACGCTCCCGCTCTTGGACTGGGACTTTCAATTACATTTATGTTTTGTATAGCTCTGAATCACAACAACAGTCGTCTCGAGGACTTTACAAGGTTGTCGATTCACCAACAATAGATCAGAGAATTAAACGGAAATGTAATGGGAGTGGGATGATCCGAATACACTTTCCAATGAAACCAGGAAATCTTTGGTTACACATGTATAACACGGACCTTTTTTAAAATTATTTTATTCTTAGATTTATTACACAAAGCCATTGGACTATAGATCCTGGTGCTTGCATGTTCAAAAGCATCTTCCGTCTGCGTTTTGTTCAAATGAGTTAAAGGTTTTTTGTTTGTTTTTTACAGCCTAAATCCTCTGTTGTTGGACTCTTAAATGAAATGATTGCAAAGTTTGAAGAGGATCCCCCTTTGTCCTCAAGAAACACATCCAACAAAGATCCACACGACCTCCTGGCTATGGTCTCCAATTTACAAATCAATGACGGTATAATAATGGAATGTTGTAATCTTAAATCTTTTGTATCAAGCTTTAATGAACCTTTCAATTTTAGGTAGTGCCAGAAATGTCGATCAACAGAATATTAAAGTTTCTGTTATTGGAGGTGGAGATTTGGGGATAGCGTCGGTGCTGAGCATTGTAGCAAAGGTAAATAGATATTCTAGTCATTCTTGAGTGAATTATGCGTAATTTATTATTCTGAATGTCCTATTTTTAGTGTAAAGTAGGTAAACTTGTCTTGATTGATGTTACGGAGAATTCCACCAGAGGGGGTAGTACAGATCTGGAAATGTTCAACGTCCCAAAAGTGGAGGTATCCAAAGGTATGTCAAATGAGATGTAATAACATTAATGTCATTTAAGATTGTGTTGTAACAATACTAACATTTCAAACTTGAATTTGATACTAATGATAGATCTGATACTCAATACCTTAGTTGATACTACAGTGATTTCTAGGGTTAGGGTTACACCGGGAGCTGCTGGTGTCCAAGTCGATCAACACTGGTCATGAACGAAAAAGGTTCAAAAAATATATGCAGGCACTTGCAAATATAAAAGTTTGCCCTGTATTTGTTGGGTTTTTTTTATATTCGAGTATATAGTGTGGATTCTAATTGATAGTTTTGATTTAAAGCTGCATTACCTAACCTTTTTCATAATGTTTCATGAATACATAGTGCTTATCCCAACAGAAGGAGTCTTGTTTAGGTAACAGCAATTCAGACCATAGTATGCTGTCATTATATTGTTAGAAAACAAGTTATCATTTAATAATTGTAATAGATTTTATTTCATAGGCGCCTTTCTTGACACTTAAGGTTGCCTCACATTACAAATAAAAAAGTACATTTAAAATACATAAATACATTTACATACTGAGACCTGATTAGCTGAGTTAGGGCTGGTACTCTCTTTTTCTTTAATGATGACAAAGAAACCAAAAGTGCATGCATTTGAAAACTAGAGATAAATCCAAACCGTTTTGAAATCTAGGATCTGCGTAGTCATATGGATTTGTTTTTTTTTTCTTTTTTTTTGTGGTTTCAAAGTTTGGTACTCTGCTACTTTTGACAACCCTCGTTTGAGTCATAGCAGAATGAAATGTAGTACTCTCTTGTGGAATGTATCGTCTGCTTTCACATAACTTTACTCTGCCAACATGACTCACAACTTGAGCCTCATTCGTCTGTCCGCAGATTTGGCGTCGTCGGCCGGCTCCAGAGTCGTGGTGGTGACCGCGAACGCCTGGAGCAGCGAACAGTCGTATGTGAAGGTGGTGCAGACGAATGTGGAGATGTACAGAGGATTCATACCACACCTGGCACGGCTGAGTCCCGGCGCGGTCATCATTATCGCCTCCCAACCAGGTCACTATGGGTGTCATGTCAATTCAATTCATTAGTGTATAGCCCTAAATCACAACAGCAGTCATCTTGGAGATCAGAGAATCAAACAGAGAGCAGAGGTGGCAAGGAACAAATCATGTGTAATAATCAATTAAGTGCATTCATCAACTCTGGTTAAACTTTCCTTTTACATTGAATAATAATAATAATAATAATGCATCAGTTTTATATGCGCTTTATTGGACAATGCTTCACATGTTATTATTCATTCACTGCATACACAATGGTGATGAAATACTTCTATAGCCACATCTGCCCTGGGCCACACTGACAGAAGCGAGACAACCAGTATGTGCCATCGGCCCCTTTTACCGAAGCAAGCTTTCTTACTTTCTCACCAGTTTTTGAATCGCTAAATCATCAATAATTGAGAAATGCACATGTTTTTAAACCAAACTGAGCAACATTTTAAGCAAAGCAATGAGACTGTGGTTTCAGGCCGCCGCACAACCACTACAACAGTTCACTCTTCACAGATGGCAACACAACATAAAAACCGGTTTGAAATGAATGAATTAATTAGTCACGCTTCTAAGTTCAGATAACCATTCTATTTATGCATATTGACCCTGTGACTGTAAGAGGAGGAGCCTTTACTTTTGAACTTGGCTGTGTCTCCAGAGCTCCGGGGTCAATTGTTTTGTATGTGTTCTGGTGTGGGGGGACCTCAGCAGAGAAAACCTTCCAAACAATTAAACCTGTAGCATCATAGAAACCACTGTGATGGGAAAGTAAAGGCACTATGCTGACCATTCTTGGAGCCAATGGGTCACTACAAGGTTAACATATGCATATAACCGTTTTCACATGAACAGTTGCATAGTGAATTTCTCCTACGGGGGATCATTAAAGTATCTATCTATACGTATATAATGCTCTTGTAAGTAAGCGTTATTTATACAGCGCCTTTCACAGACCAAGGCCCTCTACTTTTGTCACCTCCTGTAGAAGAGTGTATTCATTTCACTGACACCCTGTTTTTCTTCAGTGGATATAATGACTCATGTTGCCTGGAGGCAGAGTGGTTTTCCCCCAACGCAAGTGATTGGTGCTGGTTGCAATTTGGACTCCGAGAGACTCAGCCGTGTTTTGGACATAAACCTCAACACGCACAAACAAGCATGGGTCATAGGAGAGCTTTCAGATAACAAAGGTACATCCTCAATGTTAGACGTATTAAAAAAATACTATAATAAAATCAATACTTTCTTTATTCTCTACAGTCCCTGTCATGAGTAACACCAGCCTGAACTCCAGTACAAGGGCAGAAATCGCACCAACGTCAAGTTCTACCAAGCCTTTGTTAGACCGGTAAAGAGTTTTGAAATCTTGTGTTAATTTTTGAGTCTAAAGTGATAATTAACATCATGATGTAAACGGAGAAACTTTAACCTCTCAAGTAGGACTGTGCACAAAATCAACAAATCACAATTTTCAATCTCAATCATCAGCATGAGAATGTAGAGAATCCAATGCTTGTATCTTTGTTGATAAATCTCCCAGATTGCCCAGCCCTACTCTGAACATAGCACAATGTGAAATTATAAGATTTTTTGTTTTTAATACTTAACATAAGACCCTGATTATGTTGAGCTGAGGCGAGTTACTCATTGAACGTGTGTTACTTATGAACAACTTGATTTTGTGTCTGTATCAGAACATTCTGCCAACACAAGTGCATTCTCTTTGATATCAAAATTTTAGAGGGTTTGAAATGATGAAGAATAAAGGTCAGCGCTCGTGGTCAGTGGGGTTGTCCATTGCAGACATCACAAACAGCATCCTGACTGACCAGATGAAGGCCCACTCTGTGTCCACGCTGGCTCAGGTAGATCTTAGTCCCTTCATTTGATTATTCTTACAATATTGACACCTAACATGTGCTTCTATGTATCGTGTGGTTACAGGGCTGGGGCGGCATTGCTTCAGAAGTCTTCCTGAGTTTGCCTTGCGTTTTGGGCGCCAACGGTTCTACCAGACTCGCTGGCGTGTCGCTGGGAGACGAGGAGGAGTCAAAATTGATGGACAGCATATCGTCTCTTACAAACATCATGGGTCAAATACAGTTATGATCTGAAAGTCAGTCCTTGCAGTAGGTCATTGGCAAATGGCAACATAGGCATTGGACATTGGTTTAGTAGTTGAATGAAATGAAGAAAATATTTTTGCGCCTTGCACTAAAAAGTCCCGTTTCCACCAGCCCTATTTGGCCCTACTTGGCCCTACTCTACCCGGATTCAAAACGTAGCCCTGTTTAACCATTTTGCTCATTGGTGCCGTGGCAGGAGCTCTGGTGTGTACTATCTGGTGCACACTGGGGTAGGCTTGCACAGTTTTTCCAATGTGGTTTTACTGCAAATGGCAAACATTATTTAATCTTGAACCTGGTACATTTTTGGTACTTAAGTGTCCTAAGTGCCAGTGATTGGCTAAAGTGCTGCTGGACGCGATGGTTATTAAGGAATTTCCTCATATACTGGCTTGCTGTGGGTAGGTTGCTAGGCTACAGGACCCGATGCTAAAGCATAACGGACACACAACCAGGTAGAAAAGAGCTGAATAGACGAGAGTAGGGTCAAGTAGGGCTGGTGAAAATGCGGCAATAGTTTATTCCAAATAGAATTATGATAGTCAATTATAGGATGCAAATAATAACTATATATTGTCTTGCTCTTATTTATTGAAAATGCTCTTCTGGACATTAAATGCAAAATCACATTATTTACGAGCTATTTCTGGGACTTAGTTTAAAGGTTTAATAATATCTGTGCAGAGTATCGGTTGAACTAGCTGCGACCCCAGAATGTGTCTTTGTACTGCTGCTTTAATACTGCTGCAATATTGACAAAGTTGCTTTATTTGTATACAGTATGTCAGTTCTTCAAGCAATAATGCCAGCATGTTACGTAAAGTCTTTTGGGAAATCAGAAGGATTCAGGATTCTGGGCTTTTGCATGATGGAATCTTATTTATTATTGCCGATTGTCTTTATATAACCAGCTTCTGTCCTGTATATGGATTGTGCCTTAACTGATGGAAATGTGCAATGGGGTGAAATTACTGAGGTGCAATAAACATTTTTGAAGAAGCAAAACTGCAGAGATAAGTTTGAATTCTTTATGAACCTCACAAACAGGAGCCGGTGGCACAAACTCACAACAAAATGTATACATTGAATCAAAGTTTGAACTCAATATAAAAATAACACCATCATTCAGTCTTTTGCATAACAAGTCAAAAGTAGTCAAAAGTATCAAAAAGGGTTCGGGCCACGGACCAAGAACACTTAAAGACGACGTGAAATAAATAATGTACAAACACAAACTGGTACAGATCAGTGCCCTGTATTCCGCTTAAGATCCTCTCAAACAATGTTAATTATGGCTTTTGCTTAAACAATATGGCTTTGGCTTTTTAATTGCTTTTGACCACAAGAGGGAGACTTTCGGCAGCCGTGGTTCTAAATTTCAAAACATTGTTAATTTCATCCCCACAACATTACTATATTGCACTTTTTTCCATCCTGCCATCTAAAAAGCAGAGATCTTGTTAAACTTTTCTAATAAGTTATCAAGACTGCACATAGACTATAGGGATATGTGAACACAATAATCAATAGAATGTACAGCTTTGGTTCTGTCTCTGTTGCTATTTTCGATATCCTACGCTTTATATTGAGACACGGTAGTGCAAGTACATCACTATGGCCTAATTATTGAAGATACTTGAACAACACCTCAATAAACACCGGTCTCACAAATGCCCCATTAACAACCTGTAATAGATTACAACCTCAGTCACACAAAAACAAAATCTCTCAGTGCAAAGAGGGTGAATTTGCATGGATCTGCCATAGAATCTATTTAAATGCCATGAACAGTTGGTGTTGACAGGGGAGAGTCATTTAGGGCAAAACTTTGACTTGTTTTGGTCAGTTTCATCCCTTTTTAAGTAGCTTTTCTGGCATCTGCAAGAGGTATTACGAACTATTTACACGGTACTAAAGCTTTACATGTGCACATACAAGTCATTTGAATAGAAAAATACTGGTCGAAAAGAAAAGACAATTCAGTCCTTGTTACATCATCCAAAAGTCACCGATTTGGGCATCGCGTGGCCACCTGGAGATATGCGACACAGGTCTGGGTTGGATCTGACTAGTGGCACCCCAACAGAGGCTTGTCCGGTTGCAAATTTCCCAGGAGGTGACCCAGTGTAGAGGAGGGGAGCGGGGAAGGCTGAATGGTCTCTGGGGCCCCTGGAGAAGGCTTTGGAGTAGTTAGGTGAGGTGGCTCTGTGAATGTCCGAACAGCTGTGTCCGCTGCACTGAAAAGGAGCCAATCTGTCAGCGAAAGTCGATGGAGGAGGCGTAAGGATCACGGAATCTTCTACCCAGCGCTCCTCTCGCTCATACAGCGGCTCTTGGGACAGCGAGCGGAACGTTGGCGTGCTCGGAGACGGCGGGATGAACACTGGGCGTGGAGGGACAGGATACTCTATGGGGTCATAGTCTTTGTTGAACGTATAGCAATTCTTGGGGGATTCCTCCGGGGTGCTAGCCAAGAGCCTGTCTATGTAGCGGTCGTCGTCGTCCCCTTCGGAAAGGTTATCGTACTGCGAGGTGTTGGAAGGTCGCCTGTCCCCCGCGTGAACCGGAACGTAGAGGGACACCGGGAATTTGGTCGGCTTCGGTGGAAGCCTGGGAGACGACGACGCGGAGGAAGTTGTGAAAACGCGCGTCGGGGAAGGCCTTTTCTGTAGGATGTCGAGGGACGTTATTGGCTTGGGGCTAATTTTAGGCTTTGCTGGACTCTGGGGTGGAGAAGCTGGATTTTGAGCTATGGTGCCTTCTGTGTAGCAAAACGGTGGAGGTGGAAGTTCTGGTAATTCTATGATGTCAGCTTGGGTCTGGATACTGTTTAAAGTAGGAGGCTCGTAAGGAGGAGGCCACTCTACGGGCTCCTCCTGCAGTTGCTTACGTTCAGGCTGGCTGCTCCCTTGCGAGTCCCCTGTCCCTTCTACTTTAGATGAAGCTTGATCTTGCTTTGGGGGCAGTGGAGGAGCTCTGCAAGGCTTTATAGAAACATGCTCCGAGCCCTCTGTGTGCACTACCACCGCGTCGGATGAAGGCGAGGAGGGAGCGGTGGCGTCATTCGCTTCTACGGGAGAGGAGGTTGCGTGTAGAGAAATGCTGTCTGCGTGTTGCTCTTCGGCGCTGAAGTGGCTGTGCTCTTGGAGACAGCTTTTGACCTCGAGGGGCGAGTCGGGATGGTTGGGGACCGGTCGCTCTTGACCCAGAGGTTTTTTTGGCAGCTCCTCTGACTTGGCTAAATAAGGAAATGCAGAAAAGGAATGCATCAGCCAAAAAAAAAAAAACGACTAAAGGAAGCATATTTCTCAACTAAAGATTGACAAAAGGTAAAATCAAGGTAATTTTATAAGTAGAAGGGACATGGAAAACATGTTCACACATTTTTATTTTTTTTCTATATTATTGATGAATGCTGATTTCATCCATTTTAAAAGCAAACTATGTGTAGGCCAAATTGTTAACATGTGATATTTAGGTTCTCAAATTATGATGATGATGATTGATTATCCAATCAGAAAGCAGAATGAGTTACTCATTTGGGTTGCCAGTTTCTTTGGCGTAATCCAGCTGGTTTGGTCACAACCCAAATTTCAGCTACATTCCTCTGTATTTAACATGCAGGAATGAGAAACTGGTTAAAAAAAAAGGTTTGTATTGTTATTGTAAACTAAACTAGCCAAATGTGCTTGTTGCTATATATAACTATAACTATATTAAATACATTAAACATGATTGTGGCAAAAAATAGTGTGTGAACAGTGCAATACTTCTAAGATAATGTTTTCACCCTTTATTTTATGTGTGTACTGGCAATGATTAATGTACTAGCAGAAAAGTGCACCTGGAGGAGGCTGGTCCAGCTTTTTACCCCGCAGCTCTGACATGGCCACATGTAACTGTTCAATCACCACATCATCCGGTAAAAAGAAGGACACCGACAGTTCTTCTTGAAGAAACTCCCTCACGTCCTCCAACGGGAGCTTCTGCAGACGCTCTGATGGGAAAACAACACATGTTAACTTGAAAGACGTGATGGAGAAAGCTGGAGCCTCACTGGTCAAACAGTCAGTGAATCCCTGAAATCAATAAAGACTATTGTAAAAAAAAAAGTTAAAAGAGATGAGCGCTTCAGTGGGTCAATGTTTTGTCAAGTCCTCATCAAGATCAGCAGTGAAAAAAACACTGGTAACATTTGAGGAAGGAGGAAATCCGAGGCACTCTTGACAGTAAATAAAAATCTTTTCATGAACAGGGACATATGAAACCAGTGTAGGATTTTGTGGACATTATGCTTACTCAACTGAAAATTGTGACCTAAGAGGTTTATATATATGTTTATGTAATGAGTTATTTATGCCATAATATGAGCAGTAAGTTGTGCCAGTGTCCAATGGAAAGTCAGCTTTAATTCTTCTACACAGCAACGGAGCACTTTCATTATGTAAGCCATCCAGTTCGCGGGCAGCCAACTGCGAGGCATCGTGCCATGTAATCCACGCAGTAACAAGCTGTACGATAGCAACGGCTCTGATGCATCTGGGCATGAACCGGCTTTGGTGACTCAGGGAAAAGAAAGCAGCGGCGGTTTACTCACTTTTGTGCAGCTTCAGAGTGGTATAAGCCATGGCAGTTAGAATCTTGTCTCCCTCCAATATGAAAATGTCCCATATCCGCAGAGTGAGGGTGAAAGGGCTCTGTTACGTGAGAGAATTAAAAATACACAGATTCAATACAGCATCTGAGGGTTATGGTTTATGTTTAGGGGTCGATCAATTATCTAAGGTTAGGTGTACTTTCTTGTACCTGTAGGGCAGGCGTCTCAATCATGTAGCTCGGGACCTACCAGTAACTCGCCACCCTTTTCAAAGTAGCTCCCCTAAAGACTACAACTATTGCTTAACCTTAGACCACTAATGCATAATGATAGATTGTTGAAACAAGATTTACCAATGGAACAAAAAATACTGTACAATTAACAACATGCTGGACACTAAAACTAGTGGTTTACTTTGAAAATCCTTTCATTTAATTTTTTTACGACCATCAAAATGAATTCATGAATGTATAAATGTATATATGTATATTGGTTATCGGCCTCGTTTGCAACTAATCAAGAAGAGACCCACATTGGAGAAATGTCAGTGTTGCATCACCAATTAAAAACAGTAGGAATGAGGAGGATAACTATCTTATAATAAAATAAAATAAAAACTCAGCATATCTCAGCATATTAAAAGTAAAAACTCTTGCTTTAATTATCCTGGCCCTGTTAAAACCAAATCGGTCGATCCTTTTGTTGCGATACAAATGAACAGTGCAGATGTGGGCCACTGTGAACAGCTGGGTGCTGCAGAAATACTCACTCTGTCAATGAAGCACTGCAGAAACCATTTAGTGGTGTAAATCCCAGTTGTCATCTGCTCTTTATCCTGTGGGTCAGAAACAAATGAGAAACGGGTCCCTCAGGGCAGTCTCCGCTCATAATCCGGGAGCTCCTTGCTTCTTAGTGATGGGGATCGAGCCGCTGCAGCTTTGTGTAAGTAACATTAATCAGATAATAACTTAAGCTGCAAGATATAACTCAGCCTCACAGACGCTGCAGCTGCAATACCTCTCTCCACTCATTTAGGTCGCGTTGGAACTCACCAGGTGCTTCTTCAGCTTGGGCAGCATTTTGGAGAGGATGAGTTCATGATGTGCTTGGAAACGATGGAGTTTAGGAAAACCTGGAATGAAGAATCCTAGGTGGAGATATGACATTCACAAATTAGAAATGGTGTTTCCCCCAGCTAGAGGCAATAACCTTCCCCTTTAAGCTAGCACAGAGTGTCAAACTCATTTTGATCAGGGCCAAAAGTCATGAGTTGTTTTATTTGGATTTGACATATTGTTTTATATACTTTGAATGATGTGTTGGGTTAGAATATTTTTTCCTGAGAAACTAAACTAGATGATGTATGGCATGCCATTGTAGTCCATTACCATCACAAGTTAATAATAATCATTGAAAATCTTTTTGGGGACCACTAAAAATAGTCTTGCAGGCCGAATTTGGTCCACAGGCCTGAGTTTGACATGCCTGGCCGAGCACAACAGAACCTCTGAATGGTGGCAATATAAATATAAATAGTAACTTAAAATCTATTGTTGAGTTTTTCTACATTCAAATTAAATATATACATCCATAGAAAGGTTTCTCTCGATCACTCCGACTCATGCACTCTCATACATTTACTTTATACTAATAGCAAGTAAGTACTAAGTAATTAATCATCATTTATATTGCCGATTTCACAGACCAACACGCGAGAATCTTACTCTATGACAATGAACTCTAAAATATACTACACAAGACATTTCCCACTAATGTTTGGAATATTTCACGCATTAAAACTCTTTGGTCAGGCTTTTAAAATAGTGTTGATAATAGCGCTACAAATATAGTGAGAAAGAAAGGCTTGATTATGGACGTTTATACCCAAATTATGATAAAAAACACAATTTTCACTAACTTTCTGATTCTATTCAAGACCATTCTAAAATTATTGCGTTTTTTGTATGGCTCAAACGGTGGTGAAATGGTTCGATGCAGTTTCTCCACAGCCTCACTCACCGTGCATGGCGTGTTTGCTGTTCGTAAGGAGCTGAGACAGAGCCCAGAAAGCATCTTCTTCGTTCAGGTACATGAGCAAGATGGCCGCAATCTGACTCATGCCTTGGCAATAGCTCACCTCCTTTGGGGAACGAGAAGACAGAAGAAAGCCAGACCGGTCAGAATCGGCCATAAGAGAAAATATTTATAATTCATTCGAACATGCGTGTGGCCTGAGAGGAGAGGAGCACCTGAATGTCTGATGTGGCGAGAAAGCGAATGCCTCAAACTGCACATTAAGTAAGCTAAAGCCTCCCGAAATACAAATTATATAGTGTCAACCGAGCAGTGCTAGTTCAAATATTTACTGCATCCTCTTCCATTACAACTGCGACCCAGCGATTTAGTCCAAACAAGTCAGTCTTATAGCAGAAACAGTATTTACAAACGTAGACACATATTGGCCATTAGTCTATATTCAAAAGTAAATGCATGGCTTTACATACACCATTCTTTACAGGTTGCATTCAGGTCAGGCCACACGGTCTAGACATTACGCTGCCCGTCCCATAGTAGGCAAATGGATACCCTCTGCATGTCCCACTTTTCCCACTACTCTCAGCTCTGGCTTACTCCTCTGCTGACCCATTTTCTTTTGAGTGGCGTTGGGAGACGAAAGGAAACGGTGGAATTGCACATGCCCCCTTCCTATGGCTTCGACGCTTCCACCACACAGGAACTGCCCGACCATAAAGTCCATAAAAACAACACGTTAATATTCGGAGAGCACAGTCAGCGTTCTCTGCACATGATCGCTCTGACAGAGAATGATGAAGGAAGGGGTGTCACGGAAAGTGTGAAGTCTCGCTCAATGTAAGAAAAGGAAAGCGATAGTATTCTATGTGGGGAGTCAAGATGTTTCGGCTGAATCTTATTCTTGACAATAAATGTAGACTCCCTGCTTTTGAAACTTGGAAAATTAGAATACCTTTCAAAAAAGTTAGTTTATCATACATGTAAAGTGACATTCCGAGCATTTGTTTGTTTACATTTTAAGATTATGGCTTGCAATTTTCTGAGAAATTTTGTGTTTTTACAAGCTGTGGGATAATTATCAACATTATAACAGATAAAGGCTTGATAAATGTCACTGTGCGTGTAGTGAGACTGTCATTTATTAGTTTCACACGCATAAGAAGAAGAATATAGTTAAAAAATATAGCAAAAAAGGCAAAAGCAAAGCGGTGTCTTTGTGCCACTGCTCCAATGTCTTATGGCTGCACGTTTAAATTGGAGCCATTTCTCATAAATAAATCATCTCCTTAAAACAGATGGGTTTTCTTTGCTTGGCGTCTTCTTCAGTGTTTTGCCATTTAACACGTGTGAAGAAACTATTATGCAAGAGACACGCTCTGCTCTGCACACACTCAAAACAAACGTACCGTGTTATAGACCGAGTAGGCTGCGAGGACGTGGAACAAGGCCTGCTGCCTGGAAGGGGGACAGAGAAACACATTTACTGTTTAGTGCATTAACATGTTGGATAAACAGTACATCATTGGTGATTAAATAAGTAACTTCATAAATCAAATGCATTTTACACAGGGTTTCAGGGTTTGGTCGTGGCCTCAGTCCTGGTTCTACGACCTGTCCCTGGGAGCGGATTCCTCTCTCAATAAAGGGCCACCATGACGTTTCTCACTTTTTTCCCAACTGGGTTTTTTGTTTTTGTTCCCTGCCGATGCAAGCGGGTCTAAGGACAGTTATGATCGGGACAACTAAGGACATTTATTAACATTTATGGACAGTGGTCATCCCGCTCCCAATGGATCAAAGCATTTGTTATCATTGCATTTTCTGTGTTCAAACTGTTCAAGTCTCTGATCTGTTGTTGGTGAATTGACAGCTTTGTAGAGTGCTCTGAGACTAAATTAAAGTGTAGTCAATGAATGGATTTCTATGTGAGCAAGTTTGGTAAGAATACATTTTTGTAACAACTGTCCCCATCTCTCATAAGTCTGCCACTGTCACATGTACACCTGCCTTTGTTTTGTCTATGGTTTGTCGACACGGAACGTTAAGAATGTGATAAGACTGTGATACGATAGTGAAGCTGTTGCGTACGCCACATATGGGACAAAGGGAGGAGCTCTAACGACTAATGCGTCGCCAAGAGAGGATGTGCCCCCTGCAGGCTTTCCCCGCCATAGAGAAAAGAATTATGGACAGAGGCAGGAAAACCGCTTTAAATAGCTGTCAATGAGTGTGTGTGGAGGACAGCTGTTCATATGAGGGGGAAGGAGTGGGCAGAGAGGATGGGAGCACTGCTTTGGTCTGTGTACAGAGAAGCATTGAATTGAATAGGAAGTAAATGACAAACAGGGAAAAACACACACAAAATAAAATGTTGAGCTAAGTATTATTTTGTCAGCGTCATTATTTTGGCAATAAATTAATGTAGTGATCTCTATTTTTGAATACTGTAATTGCATGGAGCTTGGAACATGAGGCTTGGATGAAGATACTTAAAGTTTGAGTACCTTACTTTGACGCACCAAAAAAAAAACCCGAAACATGTAATAAATGTAAATAGTTCCTAGCTCTCAGAAGTGTTTGGTTTTCACGCGCATCTATATATGTTCACGTCACAACTTTAGGGCGGCTGTTTCAGTGAAAAAGTGAGGACCACCCACACTCAGCCAATCAGCTCTCAGTATGTAAACGAAGACATGTTTTCAAATTACATAAAACAACATGTAGTAGTCGGATTTGTTCACAAAAGAAAGACTGTTGGGACACACACAATGTTATTACGAAGCAAAAAAAAAACGCTTTAAGTAGATATATTTATGCATTTACGTATTTGAGATACAATATTTTCCTTCAGGGAGTATTAAAAAAAAAGGTGACGTCAGAAAGCTCACACCACATTTCACACTACAGTACGAAATGTATTGATTTTATGTTTAGTGTTACCACATGGTGATTAAGAAGCATCCCTCATACTGCCAGAGATTTTGGATATTTTTTAGTGTTTTTCCAAGCCTCATAAATGTGGGCCCTTGGTTGACACAAGTCTGAAACATACTAAATGAAAGCTCTCTCTCTTGCCTTTCAGTAAAAAAAAAGCAAGTTTCTACCCCTTTTAGTTTTTTAGCAATTGAGAGTATAACATGGGTAACTTAACGCAAAAAAAACGACGTCAATGGCAGTGAATGAGTTAATAAGTCAAATAAAGCCTTAACTAAAGCTTGTGCACATTTTCTTCTTTCTCAATAATTTCATGCAATTCTTGCTGTCATGTTTTTGAGTCTGTGTATAAAAGTTATAAAATAGTTGTGAAAATATTAGGTGACATGACTTTATGTGATCTCCCCCCTGGACTGCCACCTTAACGTGGTGGGGGAGTTTGAGTACTCGGATGATCCTGGGAGCTATGCTGTCTGGGGCTTCATGCCCCTGGTAGGGCCTCCCATGGCAGACAGGTCTCAGGTGACGAGTCAGACAAAGAGCAGTCCAGAAGACACCATGGACAGCACTAACACGAAAACAGTGACGTCGCCCGGCATGGCGCAGCCGGGGCCCCACCCTGGAGCCAGGCCTGGGGTCGGGGCCCGTATGCGAGCGCCTGGTGGCCGGGCCTTAGCCCACGGGGCCCGGCCGGGCTCAGCCCGAAGGGATGACGTGGGCAGTCCCTCCTGTGGGCCCACCACCTGCAGAGGGGTCCGTGGTGAAGCGGTGCAGAGAGGACTGGGCGGCAGTCGAAGGCGGAGACCTCGGCGACCCAGTCCGCACACACAACATCTGGCTCTTGGGACGTGGAACGTCACCTCACTGGGGGGGAAGGAGCCCGAGCTCGTGGGGGAGGTTGAGCGATACCAACTAGAGATAGTCGGCCTCACCTCCACACACAGCTTGGGCTCTGGAACCCAACTCCTTGAGAGGGGTTGGACGCTCCACTTTTCTGGAGTTTCCCGTGGGGAGAGGCGGCGAGCTGGGGTGGCCATTCTCATTGCCCCCCATCTCAGCCGCCACGTGTTGGAGTTCTCCCCGGTGAATGAGAGGGTCGCGTCCCTCCGCCTCCGGGTGGGGGACAAGTCTCTCATTGTTGTGACGGCCTACGGGCCTAACAGCAGTGTAGAGTACCCGGCCTTCTTGGAGTCCTTGGGAGGGGTACTGGACGGTGCACCGCCCGGGGACTCCGTTATTCTCCTGGGGGACTTCAACGCCCATGTGGGAAACGCCAGTGACACTTGGAGAGGGGTGATCGGGAAGAACGGCCCCCCTGATCTGAACCCGAGCGGTGCTCAGTTGTTGGACTTCTGTGCCAGTCACGGTTTGTCCATCACGAACACCATGTTCGAGCACAAGGGTGTCCACCAGTGCACGTGGCACCAGGACACCCTAGGCCGGAGGTCGATGATCGACTTTGTTGTCGTATCATCTGACCTTCGACCGCGTGTCTCGGACACTCGGGTAAAGAGAGGGGCGGAGCTGTCAACCGATCATCACCTGGTCGTGAGTTGGATCCGCTGGCAGGGGAAGAAGCCGGTCAGACCTGGCAGACCCAAGCTTATAGTGAGGGTCTGCTGGGAACGTCTCGCTGAGCCCCCTGTCAGACGGACTTTCAACTCACACCTCCGGGAGAGTTTCTCCCAGGTCCCGGCGGACCATGTTCTCTGCCTCAATCGCCGATGCGGCGGCTCGTAGCTGTGGTCGCAAGGTCTCTGGTGCTGGTCCCGGCGGCAACCCCCGAACCCGGTGGTGGACACCGGCAGTAAGGGATGCTGTCAGGCTGAAGAAGGAGTCCTATCGAGCCATGATGGTTCGGGGGACTCCTGAGGCAGCTGTCCAGTACCGGCAGGCCAAGCGTGCCGCGGCCCGGGCTGTTGCAGAGGCAAAAACCCGGGACTGGGAGGAGTTCGGAGAGTCCATGGAGCATGACTATCGGTCGGCCTCGAAGAGATTCTGGCAAACCATCCGGCGCCTCAGGAGGGGGAAGCAGTTCTTTGCCAACACCATGTACGGTGCGGGTGGAGAGCTGCTGACCTCGACTGGGGATATTGTCGGGCGGTGGAAGGAATACTTTGAGGTTCTCCTCAATCCCCCCGTCACGTCCTCTGTTACAGAGGCAGAGGCTGAGGACGTTGGGGCGGGTACATCCATCTCCCTGGCTGAGGTCACCAAGGTGGTTGGTAGCCTCCATGGTGGCTGTTTGCGGACGATGTTGTCCTGTTGGCTCCAACGAACCAGGACCTGCAGCATGCACTGGGACGGTTTGCAGCCGAGTGTGAAGCGGCTGGGATGAGAATCAGCACCTCCAAATCCGAGGCCATGGTGCTCGACCGGAAAAAGGTGCCTTGCCCTCTGCAGGTGGGTGGAGAGGTCCTTCCTCAAGTGGAGGAGTTCAAGTATCTCGGGGTCTTGTTCACGAGTGAGGGAAGAATGGAGCGTGAGATTGACAGGCGGATTGGTGCAGCATGCGCAGTTATGCGGTCGCTGTATCGGACCGTTGTGGTGAAGAGGGAGCTGAGCCGAAAGGCAAAGCTCTCGATTTACCGGTCAATCTTCGTTCCCTCCCTCACCTATGGTCATGAGCTTTGGGTAATGACCGAAAGAACGAGATCGCGGATACAAGCGGTCAAAATGAGCTTCCTCCGCAGAGTGGCTAAGCGCTCCCTTAGAGATAGGGTGAGGAGCTCAGTCACACGGGAGGAGCTCGGAGTAGAACCGCTGCTTCTCCACGTCGAGAGGAACCAGTTGAGGTGGCTCGGGCATCTGTTCCGGATGCCTCCTGGACGCCTCCCTGGGGAGGTGTTTCGGGCACGTCCCACCGGGAGGAGGCCCCGCGGAAGACCCAGGACACGCTGGAGGGACTATGTCTCTCAGCTGGCCTGGGAACGCCTTGGGGTCCCCCCGGACGAGCTGGAGGAAGTGTGTGTGGATAGGGAAGTCTGGGCGTCTCTGCTTAGACTGCTGCCCCGCGACCCGGCAACGGATAAAGCGGAAGAAAATGGATGGATGGATGGATGGACTTTATGTGATTCTAAATGTGCTATATATGTATGTATTATTAATGAATGTTAAATTATATCTAAAAGTTTGTAAATGGTAACAGCATTAGTGCAAGTGATAAATATATAACACAGGATAACAGAACCTTTTTGATCACGATTGATTTACATTACAGATACACACATACATGTAAGTACTATGTGAGCATTTCTGTATGAATGCCATTTCCTGTGGGGCTTTTGTGCTCTGACAGGAAGACTAATAAAACTCAAAGGAAACCGCCGCTTTAGTGAAGTGAGTGCGAGTCTTTAAACCTGAGGTCACATCCAAATGGAGGCCGTGCAAATGCAATCGTGAACAATAAACAAAGGACAACAAAACAACCGTCTCGAAAAACAAAGGCCAGGAATTGTTTTGGAAGCAGATTACTGTCATCACTGTGTCATGTGTTTACATGTTAAAGGGGACATAACATG